CAGAGCTGGAGGAACGTGATGGAGTTGGCATCTCAGCATATGGACTTTTTGACTTCGCGAGATGCCATCATCCAACCTCACGAACCACTATATGCTCAAGTTCAAGCAATGCTTCCATGGCAGCTCACTCGGGTGCAGGTCGCTCGAAGACCTTTGGTGAATCGACATCCATTGCATTTTCCATACACCCATCGAGGCGCAGCTCTCAGGTACGTGGACAATCCTGAAGTTGATGTCATCACTGAGGACTTGACTGAACTCAGATTCCCACGTTCACGCTTCAAGGCACCTGTTGAGTTGGGCATCTTCTGGTATGGGTACCCCAATGAGATTGATGAGGAACAAGGTATCCCAGCCGAAGAGGCCATGATGCGAGATGGAGTTCCTGTGGATGAGGCAGGCAACTTTCAGCCATCTCAAGCTTCACAACCAATTCAGAACTCCGAGATTTACCATGATGAAATCACTTTTCCCAACTCCACAGGCATCGACAGATCCATCAAGGTGTCGGTGTCGAGAATGCACAAGAACCTTGGACATCTTCCAGGTCCAGAGATGCTGAAGCTGCTGGCTTTGAATGGCATCACCAGCGACCAGGTGATCAAATGCATCAAAAATATGCAATGTGCAGCTTGCGCTCGCTCGCGAGCTCCACTTCGACCAAACCCAGCAGCGGCACCTCCACAGTGCATTGGGCAATTTGCTGACAACCTCCAGGCGGACATCTTCTACCTGAGGGATTTGACTTCCAAGAACCATCCGGTTCTTGGGGTGATTTGCGAAGCAACTCATTTGCATGCTGCCACAAGGTTGACTTCCAGGAATCCATCTGAGGTTTTTGATGCACTTCGACTTTGCTGGCTTCAGAATTTTGGATTTCCTTTGAGGCTTGCAGTTGATGATGATGGCGCCTTCAAAGCTGAGTTTGACGAAAAGATGAGCGCAGGTGGCACCTATCTAGATGTCATCCCAGGAGAAGCTCACTACAAGCTGGGCGTGATCGAGCGTCACAATGGAACGCTTAGAATGCTCCTGGAGCGCATCGTGGACTCCATGCCTTGCACCGATGCGGATGACATTGACTTGGCCATTGTTTCAGCACTTCAGGCCAAGAACTCAGCCACTTGGTCATCTGGGCGACCACCATACATCGCAGCCTTTGGAAAGATCCCAAGAGTTGGCACAGACCTTTTGAGCGACCCTCGGGCTTTGATTTCTGGCTCGTCTCGCTCTGAGGCTCAGCAGCAATCTGCCCTGATGAGATGCGAAGCGTTGAAAGCAATTGCAGAGGCCTCAGCATCTTCGACTTTGAGAAGGGCATTGCTTCGCAAAACTTCACAGCAGCTGCAGCTTGAGCCCCAGCCAGGATCCCTCTTGGCATACTGGCGATGGACTACACGTTCTCATCGCAAACGTGGAGGATACCGCATTGCGCGGTATTTGGGAAAAGATCCAGATGGCAAAACTCTGTGGCTTCAAAGTGGCAGTCATACTGTCAAAGTTGCTGACACCCAAGTTCGAGATGTCTTCGGCTATGAGGACTATGTCCCTGATCGTCAAGATCTTCAAGCTCTCAAGAATGCGGAGGACAACATCAGGTCAGATTTGTGGACTGACGAGACCCTTCCAGAAGAAGTTCATCCACCTGACCAAGTCGCTGAAGCTTCTGGGGAATTGGACTTGGACTTTGAGTACCCAGAAGTGAATGCGCCAATTGCTCCTCAGCTTGAAGCAGTCGAAGCCCCATCTACGTCCAATCTTCAAGTCAGCAACCAGCCTATTGAGATTCAACCTCCACAACCACCACAGCAACCATCATCAAGACCATCAATCCATTTACATCAAAACATACAACAAACACAGAACATTTTCAACGAGCCAGCACCTGGAACACCAGTTCCCCATACGCCATCCAGAAGAATTCGATCAAGAACACCGACTCAGACAAGACACAGGATACAAAGCAGACAAGCAGAACTTACACACACACCTGACAGACACGCCAACACCGCCAGAGCATCCACAGATGCGGCACCATACACACAGAGCACAGCAGCCATGCCACCTCTACCACAGCCACATCTACACCCATCCATACATACAGCAAAACAACAAACTGATCTCAACATTCAGCCAGTTGTGGATCTCACAGATGATTTGGATGATCCGGGACAATTTGTTCCACGGACTCCGCCAGAACTGATGGAAGATGCACAGCAAGCAGCACAGGATCCCTATCAGGATCAAATTGAAGCAACATCAGTCTTGAAGCGGCCATTTGAAACCCTGGCAGCACAACTCACACGAGCCAGAAGATTTGCACAGAGGTCCTACGAGCTCTACAACTACCGCAGCTTCTATGGGCCACCTCTTCAAGGCTTACGCTGCTGGGCAAGGCTTGATTTGCTCACCAAATCGCCCAAGAAGACAATGTCCACTGGACCACCCATGTCTTCAGTGAAATGGAGGCGCACTTTGGACGCCACATCGGGCGACATCATTTTTGAAGGTCCCTTCAACGACAATGACGATGAAGAGGCCCATCACTTTGGATCAGAGTTGAGCACCCTGACGGAACTAAGGCATGTTGGTGCGAAACAAGCTCCCAGCTTCTTTGCGAGCGATCGTGAGCTCAACTCCTTTGAGCCTGGATGGGATGGCAGCCCTGACAATTGCCTCCCAAGCTCTTCCAAGACCTTCATCACTGCCTATGTCAACGAGCTTGCGGAGAAAGAAGACGACTTTGAAACGACACTTTCAGAGTCAGATGAAGAGTTTGATGACATGTCGAAAGGCATGCCTAGAAAAACCAGGAAAGAGCAAAAGGCTCAGGAGAAAGAACTTAGCTGGCGAGAAATCATGCAGCAGTCTGACGACTATATCCAAGCCTTCGTCGAAGCCACCATCAAGGAGGCAAACAGCTTCACCACTTGGAAGTCCCTGCAGCCGATTCCTGAAGATGAAGCTCGGCGCATCCTGAATGACCCGAAGTTGAAGAAGCGCATCATCACTTCCAGGGGATGCTATCGGGACAAGAACAAGAATGTTCCACCGCTGAAGGCCAAGACCAGAATAGTCTGTCGTGGCAACCAAGACCCTGACCTAGTCAACTTGACGAGACAGGCTCCAACTCCAACGAGGACTTCAGAGATGTTGGTGTACATCATCTTTGTTTCTGGCGCCAATTCAAAGGCTTTTGGAAGTCGAGATGTTTGGCTTCTTTGGTGCGGAGACGCCTCCACTGCGTTTCTCCAAGGGGATCCAGATTGGTCAGAACGAGCAGGCAAGCTGTATCTGAAACCTCCAAGGGATCCCATAGTCGAAAGAGCCAAAGTTTTCAAAAGTCAGCTGTATGAGATAACTGGAAATATATATGGACTTTCAAATGCCCCATATACTTGGGCTGTTGAAGTGAGCCGCAGATTGGAAGCAATAGGCTTTATTTGTCATTCTTTTGACAAAATGTTGTTTTGGTTCCCTGATCCACACAACGCTCCTGCACCTTGCGCTTTGCTGATCTGCTATGTGGATGATTTTCTGCTCACTCACAACTCCAGCTTCCCCTTTGAGAAGTTCCAAGCCAGCTTCAAATGGGGATCCCAGCAGTATGCGCAGCCCGGAGCACCTCTCACGTTCAAGGGCAAAGAGATCCATATATGTCATGATGAGAAGAACGAGCTCTATGTCAAGATCACTCAGACTACATTCATCAACAGTCTGGACAAGGGCATGAAAATTCCGAAAGGTAAGATGAGTACGAAGATCTCTGATGAGCATTGGCCTGAGTTTCGGTCAGTGAGCGGATGTCTTCAATGGTTGGCAGGACAATGCAGGCTTGACTTAGCCAGCGCAGTTTCCTTGTCAAATCGTGGGTCCGAGACGACCTATGCTGATCTGGATGCCCTCAACCAGACATTGGACTTTGCGAAGTCAACTGCAGAACTTGGCATTTGCATCCGGGCTGTCCCCATTGATCAGAGCACTGTGATTGTTGGGTACAGTGATGCATCCTGGGCGAACGCACAGGGATCTGCCAGCCAACATGGACAGATCATCATGTTGACCTCTGCGAATGTCACTGAGTGCACTTCAATTGGAGCCATTGCAGACTGGAAGACTGGCAGAAGCAAGAGAGTTTGCCGTTCTACTCTGGCAGCTGAAGCAGTGAGCGCTGACACTGCGACCGATCGGCTTGCGTTTTTGAGCTACATGCTGGGAGAACTCATTTTCGGCATCCCAGCTCATAGAGTAGGTAAACGTCTCACAACACTTCTTGTCACAGACTGCAAAAGCCTGTATGACACTGTAGCTTCGCCGAACCCAAGCATCCAAGACAAGCGAAGCTTGGTGAATGTTAGATCGATTCAAGAGCTGATAGATCATAGAACTGTACATTGGGTACCGACCCATCTTCAACGGGCAGACGGCCTCACGAAGATTAGCAAAGCCCTGATGTTTGAATTGATTCAGTGGCTTCAGCGTAGCACCATACAGCTTAGGGACGTAGATGGATCAAAAGAAAATATGGCAGTGTGATTTTGGTGTTGCTTCTGAGCATTGATCCATCCTGTCCATGATTTCCGTTGGCTCCTCAAGGATCCAGAGCCATTTGCATCAACCGTTTTGCCGCGCAAAACATGCCGACTTGCTGATTGCATTGCAAGTGCATTTCGTTTGACCACATTTGGCACGTGGTTCATTCATAGATATATCCCATAGCCATTATCCCGTTAAAATCCTAGTCTATCCTATTAACTATCCCAGAATCGTTTTTAGGTCAAATTGACAAAGGAAACCTATATGCGATGTCGATTTTGCCTTAAATCACCCATCAACCACCATTTTCGCAGCTAAAACATCTTAAACTCATCCGTGGTTTAAACCCTATAAACCCATACTATCAGTGGTTTAAACGCTATTTAAACCCTATAAACCCACATTAACCCCATATCTTCACCGGGTTTCCATCCCTTTTTTCCATGGCTCCCGGCCCTCCCAAGGTGCCCCGTACTCCCACGACCTGCCATCCTTCACGGCCACCGTGCGGCGCGTCTTGGCGGCGCTGAGTGCTGCGGACCCGGCGGGGGCCAACTGCTTGGCACGGCGCGTGGCAGGAGCTGAGGGCAGATTTTTGGATGTTTGGAGGGCGATTTTTCATGGTTTGAAAACCATGGTACCCTCTGGTAATTTGTTACATAGCTATTGAAAATCACCATTTTCAATGGGAAAATCCACTATAACTGGTCATTTTCAATAGCTATGTTAAATTACCAGAGGGTATAACATCCCAAAAATGATGTTTAATGGGGTGTTTTATGTCTTGTTTAAAATGGGGTTTGAAAACCAAGAACTATGGGGATATCACAGGGATTTCATGGGGATGAGTATCACATTCAATGGGTTCGATATTTAATGAGGTGTTTTATGTCTTGTTAAAATGGAGATTTCACCATGAATGAATGGGGAATTCACCAAATATATGGTGATAACAATGATTTGGAGATGAATTTAAGTTTTAATCATCCCCCCAAGAAAAATCTAGCAACATTTTCAGGTTAGTGAATTGTGTCAATTCAGCCAGAGAACATGGTATACCATAGCTATAAACCCCGAAAGTTGGGAGATACTGGCATACAGTTTGGTCTTTGATATATCTTGCCATTTTGATGGGAGTTCCTTCAGCCATTTTTTGGGAGGTACGAAAGGGATTTTTTTTAGGTAGCAAATTTAAGAAGGTCCCTTTCCATATGTAAGGTCTATGTGAGGCATATGTATACAAGGGAAAAATTGAACCAAACTGATCCACAAATGGGAAACCACAGAATGACCAGATAGAGCAAGCTTCTGGATTGTTGTCTCAGCTATGGGCTGGAGCCTATATACTTGCCCATCTTATTGTTGTTGTCGTTGTCGTTGTCGTTGTCGTCGTTGTCCTCGTTGTCCTCGTTGTCCTCGTTGTCGTCGTTGTCGTCGTTGTCGTCGTTGTCGTCGTTGTCGTGGTTGTGGTTGTGGTGGTGGTGGTGGTGGTGGTGGTTGTTGTTGTTGTTGTTGCCGTTGTTGGTTTCAGGTAATCGTAAACGCGTCGTGTCGAGTGTACCATCCTTTGCTGGGTTTGGCTGACAAGATTGAGATAACATCACATCTATTTCAGACATTTGACCATTGCTGACTGCTAGCTGACAAGAGCTTGTGGCCGGTTCAATCACCATGTATAGTGGCTATATCCAGGTGCTTGCTGGTTACATTCCCTCGTCGGTCACAGACCTTTGATTGATGCAGGACGAGGATGGTACTTCCAGCAACTTGGCAAACATCCCGCAACCGTGGCGGTAGTAGGGAGCATGCGCCACATCCCAAACATGTTCATAGTACTTTGATATTATGTCCATGATTGCCCTGTCTTCTTCGGGGACCGTATCGAGCAAGATTCTTATTTCGCCACTTTGGTGCTGAGGTTTGCCCGTGAGCCTATCTTCGCAACCTGGCAATGAAGGTTATTGGTTTCATTTGTTGAGGGTATCAAAGATCAGCAATACGTAGGGACAGCTTCGGTTTCAATTGGGCTGAGCCCACTGAGCCAACTGATGCACTGCTCCCAAGATTTACGGGAAAACATCACAATCATAAGATATAAGCCAGAGCCCTACAAATCCCTACACCCAGCAAACATCCAATCATCTAATTCAAAACTCCATCAGCATATATGGAAAACAACCAAAATTGAGATATTCAAATTCATGCAGGTCAAGAATTCCATTGTTAGACAATCCCCGCCTCCGCATTTGTTGCAGTTTCTCCCCAGTTGAACCTGTCTCCATCTGTCTCCCAAGTGGAGCCGCAGGTGACCACCTTTGCCCCGTGTTATGATGAAAAGAATCCGCGGTACCAGTTCCAACAGCACCCGGAGTCCTGTTTCATCCTGTTTCAACCCGAAGAGATGCTCGGACGCCAAGCCGTTGGTTTCTGGTCCCCGCTTGTTAGAGGTCATTTTTACAGGATTCGGAGCCTTTCCCTTTAATGATTTGTTCTAAGATTCTAAGATGTTACAATCCCATTTGCAAATGACAATGGCTATTGAATAGAGTCGCTACCCGGTACTTATGACGCATGGCTTCCTCAAATCTTAACCCCACGCAATTTTTTTTTGGTACGGTTCTACAATGTGGTGCCCAGTTGCAGTACAAGTTGGTGTACAAGCACCATACATGATATATTAATTTGATATTATTTGATTATGGTTATATACATATATATATATATATATTAATTACGGTATAGAATGATATAGACGTATTTAAACCATGAAGCCAACAGCAACAGTCAGCCTGGTGAAATCATCAAACTTGTCCATCATTTGAGGACTCCATGAATTATCAACTAATCATCCATGATGGTTGGTGAATCTACCCATAAAAGCTGGGTCATACTGAATTGATTGTTTGATTTTTAGCCTCAATGGATTGGATTAAGGGAAAATTGACAGGAAAGCCCCATATTTGATGGTAAAAACCATGGTTTCCTGTAATTTTTCCCTTAAACCAATCCATTGATAGCAGTTTTCACGGGTACTGATTTTGGGGTACTCCCTTCACCCTCCGGAGCCTCCACTGTAGATCCTTCCTGCGTCACGACTTGCCCAACGACAAGCCGCGCAGTCAAACCAACTGGGAGCATCCGGTCGATGTGCGTGACCGTACCATGGACTGCGCTTGAGTTGGGAAGAAATCTCTGATGTTTATTGGTTTGTTTTTTTTAAATCTCCATACCATGATATCCAGTAATGTTATATATATATAATTTATATGCCCTTTGTACTTGGTGATGATTTTATGTTGCTTGGTTCATGGTTCCAATACACATTTAGTTACATTCCGTTTACTTCACAGGTGGAAGTCCAAATCTGTGCTTGCTCAAATCCAGTTACTGTTGTAACAGTCCAGCTTGCTTTGTTTTGTTTAAATCAAATCCATATATTGGTGTTTTAAACTGGGGGATACCAAAATCTCTAAATTGTTTAATAATTGATTTTGATTAGGAAAACCAATGGTCGCGAGGTACCCATTATAATTCCACTTATCGTTTGTAGAATCTCTATGTTTGTTGAATAATCTACACACTGAGGATGCAGGCATTTTTTGTTGCACAAAGAACATGTAAATCCTAGTCCAAGTGCCCATAAATGGGATAATATACCATAAGATACCCATTATTTTGAGATATTCACCCATTTTTGTGGGTACCTGGAGGGTCTAGGAGGAACAATCAGCTATATTTGAATTTGTATATTTGAATTTGGGCACTTTTATTGAATCCCATTAAGATCCATTGAAACTCCATATGTTTATCCCCCTATCCATTCAACTCCATTGATAATCCCATGAAATTCCATTGAAACACGATTAAACACAATGAAATTCCATCAAAACACAATTAAACCCCATTAAATCGGCAGTAAAACACCATTAAACCCCATTAAATCGCCATTAAAACACAATTAAACCCATTAAGAATCACCATTTCGCGCGGTTTTCCCAACGTCAAGGGTGCCCACGAGTCACCTGCGGAGGCATCCGGGCCAACTTCCTCCGACACGGCCGGGAGTATCGCATTCCAGAGACCACGTCCTACCCACCGGTGGCGCGTCGCAGGGATCCAGGGAGTGTGGTCAAATATCCCAGAAATCCCATGGATTTTGATGACTAATCGATATATTAATCCCATTTATTTATCATTCAAATACGTATCCCAAAAATATTGTACATTTGGCATGTCATGTTCTGATTTTTTAGACTATGTGCGCACCTTGGGAATTTTCCATCCCCAGCTCCAGCCATGTCTCCTTGAGGCTGAGTTCATTGTGGCGCCGCTGGATGTGTTGAAGGATCCCCCGGTGCATTTCTGGCTTGAGGGAAGCGCTCCCAGCGGGCGGTGACAAAAAGTTCCGAGATCCCACGGGCTGCCGGCGCATCGGTGGAGCCAGTCCTGAAAACCATTGAAAACCCATTTAGGGGGATTCCGCAAAATGGGAAAAAATGGGATGGGAAGAAGTCCTTTTTTTTCGGAAATGTGCAGCTAGCCTTGAGACTCGATGAGGTTCGAGGATGGACTTTTCTGAATTGTTGCAACATATAATGGCCTGGCATGGCTACCAGAAAGCTACACACCTTGCTCAGCCTTGCTCTTGGGCAGTGGAGATGATATGATGGAATGGTCGGTGAGGCAAGTTGTAGCCAAAGGTAGCACTCCTCATGGCTACATCAACATGTCGAAACGACTGCCAAATAGATCCATGATATAATCACTTCTTATAAGCAATATATAGAGTAGTTTCTGGAAATGTGTTTGCTATTGAACATGGCCTTTTTTAGTTCCATGATTTAGCCACTCAAAATGGTGATTTTCCACAGCCTCGGGTCCAGCGGGGTTTTTCAGGTTGGGCCTAAGCATCCTGGGCTACCTCTGGTACCTGCCATACATGTGGCTGCGGCAACGTGGTCCTCAGCTCCAGCCGAGGTTCAAAGTGGACCCTGGGCAACGCGACGGATGGGGGAAGACGGATGGGAAGACGGATGGGAACTTCCAAAGGAATGTGGGGGGCTAGGAAGAAACCGATTGGAAATTCCAGGAATATAGTGGGACAGGATGGGACAGGATATGGATATCTTATGACTGTTATGATACGTTGATCATGTTTATCTCCCACTGTCGAGTTGTTGGAGGGCAAGTCGGCGTTCATGACGGCCTTTAGATCAAAGGTATTGACCAGTGTTCCAAGTTTTTAACAAACCCTTGTTTGTTGCCCACTGTTCCCAAATCAAGTGGTGATAAACAGTGGGAACATATGGGAACAACGGGAACAAAGGGAACAATAGAATCAGCTGTATACAAGAGTGCGTACACGAAATACACATACTGTAATATACGAGACGTTTCTAGCATTCCTTGGCAGAACAGTGTCGCTAAAGGGGAACCTCCTTGAACGTAATAGGGCACTGATTGTTTGAAGACTATATGTTGTTTTGTCGGGTTAATACATCCTTGCGGATATGTGCAAATTTATGTAGCAATATTTATACTTTATACCTATATACGTACCTATACAGTATCATAAACATTCACAAGCTATTTTGAAGTCAGAATGCACAATTATTAGACACGCACACACACACACATCTCATAGATTCAGTAGATCCATAGATACACCACACCTGGATGCCACTAAGAACGTGGGCATCGCGGAGTACTGGAACCTCATCAGCGACAAAATCAGTGAACGGGGCTTCGACACTTGACCGCCGCAAAGCAAAAAGGGCTTGGGATTTGGTCAAAAGATGACCAAACTCTCCCACAATGATGATGTCATTGAAAGTTCAGGTCCATTTTGATAGCATAATCATGGTGCCATTGAAAGTTCAATATTCCATTCATGGAGGATGTATGATGGTGACATGGTGACGATTCCTTTTTTGGGGTGCCGGGCCCGCAGGACCCTGATTGGTATACGAAAGTGCATCCTCAGCGAAAGAATGCTGAGCACATGGCGGGCTCGTGTGGCAGCACAGGGGCCGGGAACAGGTAGAGTAAACCCCATCCAGTGGGTGTTGTTTTACCTGAAAAAGATGGGTTGCTAGAACTGGCTAGAACTTTGTGATGTTTCATGGTTTCTAGAGGGTATAGGGATGTATAGGGTATGGAGGTTTTGTTGATGTTAAAAAAATGCCTGCGTTGCCAGCATTTATGACTATGACCATGACATCAGTGGCCAAGTCTTGCGCCAATCGCCGCAGTTTCGAGGCGCAAAATCGCTGGACCCTACATTTGGCACGTCACGTCCTCAGGTCAACAGGTCCGTACCAGACGGGATCACATGAGAATTTGCTGCTGAATCACAAGCCAATTGCAATCCATTTTTCAGGGCGATTGTCTCAATAGTATGCAAAATTATGGGATATTATGGGGAGATCTTTACCATCGGTTTCTTCACCAAAAATCGACTCAGGTGAAGGATGAGGAGCCGCTGAAGACCAAACGTTCGGTCTGTGGCTTAAACTCTTGGGATCGCGGGGGGGTCAGATTCGCGGTGCGAAAAAAAAACCTCTGGTGAACTAACATAGCAATGGAAAATGGCCATTTATAGTGAGTTTTCCCATCAAAAATGGTGATTTTCCATTGCTATGTTAGTTCACCAGAGGGTAAACGCATGTTCTTGTGGGATTTAACATCGAACGGATGCTGTTGAAGCCTTAACGAGATAAGGAACAAATTTCTAGCTGAGTGTTCTAAGATAACAAAAACATATTATTTTTTTCTGGGACATTGTGCAGTGCTGAACCACGCTTGATAGACCTTTCATGTACAGGAATGGGAAAGCAGGAAGCATTTCTTATAGCCCAAAAATCGATGCCAATTCAATCAAGATCGTTATTAAGCATTTGTCAATTGTATACAGTAATTTGATGTTGATATTAAGGTATTAACACACACATATATATATACATATATATATTAACATTAAAGTCATTTTGTCACGGTTAGATTACCTCTAAAATCAAATGACACTCATAGATGATCATGTTCCCACCTTGCTAAAGTCGCTATATTTATCATTCAAGGACATACAGTATATAGATTTATTATCATTTCAATACATCCATTCGTTCTATACCATGTCATTCCCCGAATGGCTGGTAGAATCCCAATGATAATCAGAGATCAGATTTAGCCAATGTAATCCTTTCATCATAGCTTTACAAAGAACCTGTGGCAAACGGGAGCCAGACAGAATATATTTCTCATGTCATCTCCAAGATACCGCATGCAATCCTCATATGTTTCAGGATACCTTCTGGTATCTTCTGGTTGTTTAAGATAGGCATGGAAAATACCGTGGTTTTTAGATGATTTATGATGATTTACCTACTCAACATGATGATTTTCCATAGCTACAGTATGCGAAATGACGCAATGGTAATCCCCAATTTTTCAGGATAATCCCCAGGATATTGTGGAGACCCACCTGGTCACCTGAAGCCAGCAGCACAGGTGCAGAAGCATTGGCGCACGCCGTATTTTCTCGTGGGGTCCCCAGGGTTCGTCTCGACTGGGTCGAGGCGGTTTCATGGGGACCTCGGATGAATAGGTCGACCTGTTTGGAGGAAGAGATAATATGGTGATTGTTCACCCTCAGACATAGTCATTTAACCAGTAACAATAGGGATTATTATGAGTTACTATTGGTGAACTATAATAATTATTGGTGAACTATGGTTATCAACTATAATCAGTTATTATTGTTATGGATGATTATTATCCAATTTGGAGATAATTATGGGAACTATCAGTTATTGTTCTTGTAGATCAATTTGATCACGGCCTCACCGGGTTTCATGAGTCTTTGAGGACCTGCTCCACTGGGATGTTTTTCAATCCAGGGTTGGTATCAAACTCCCTTTTGGACACTGTAACAAGAACATGATGTACTCTAGCAGCTAGTAGCACTTTAAGGTAGGTGTTTCAATCCTATATTGTTTCCCCTATCCTATTGTTCCGTTTCCCCTGAAAAAAGGGGGACACAGATCTTCTCATCAATAAGAACACATTATAGAAAACAATGACCCGGTCGTCAATCTGACAAGAAACCACAAATACATCACACTATTGTCGAAGGGTTCCCTGAAAGATGCCGAAGGATGTTGTTTCCAGGATATTGTTCAATGTTTTTTTTGTTTCCTAACTTTCAGGGTTTTCAACTGTTCAACGCTTGCATCCCAGTATGTTCATGTATATCCCATGATATATATATATGTTATATGTCCATGATATTTCCTTTGAATCTCATGCCTTGGTTGCTTACCCTCCGGTCATCAAACATGGCTTGCCAATGAATTTCCCATTTCTGGATGATTGTTAAATCTCATTCAACCTCCATTAAGCCCCATTCAGTCCCATTAAAACTCCATGAAATACCATTAAAACCTCATTTTTTATACCATTGAAACTCCATTGAAGCACCATTGAAATACCATGACATCATCATTCAATCACGATGACTGGTTTGGTAAACAGTTCTCCAGCAATGGATGGATCTTGGCCACCAGGAGAAGAGCCTTGCGAACCGAATGGAAGCCAACGCCACTTGACGGGGGAAACGGGGTGTTTTTTGGGTGAACATTGGGGGAATAGTATGGTTAATACTGTAATGGTTAATAACAGTTGATGTTAATAATGGGTAATAATTAATAATGCCTAATGATTGTCAGTAGTGGTTAGTAATGGTGATTGATGGAATATACCCTCTGGTTATGACTAACATAGCAATGGAAAATTGCCATGTATAGTTGGATTTACCTTTTAATCATGATTATTTTCCCTAGGCCATGTTGAATTACCAGAGGGTATCCAAAAGAAACAACTTTTGGGGAGTTCTGTGTGCAAGAAATGAAGCAACGAACACGTGCAAGTGTGAGTTGGAATCTACAAATGCTGAGGATGTCACCAACGGGGCCACTAGCAACCACGGGTGCTGGATTCCACACTTCCATAGGATGGTGGCCCCTTGCAGCTTAGCTAACTGTGGGGCACTTTCCGAATTTCCGCTGGTCAGTTCCAGTCATGTCCCATCATGGCCTCTTGGGAGAGATGTGAAGGTCTACCGGGGTCCTGATAGTAAATTGGAATCTACACGCATCATGTGCCCTCTGGTTAAACGTACAAACAACTATGGAAAATCACCATTTTTAATGGGGAAATTTACTATACATGGCAATTTTCAATAGCTATGTTTGTTTACCAGAGGGTAAGTTGTCTTGAGTCAAACTGAGGATACAAACTACTCTTCCAACTTACATCTGCCGAATGTACACAAAACATACACTGTAATATGACACATATCCAGGCACAATGAAATTGGAGGATGACAAGAAAGCACTCACCTGTTCCAATCCCGGTCATTGTGCCGTGTTATTTTCCTCGGGACCAATTTGTTTTATTCGCCAAACAGTGTAAGTTGACAGGATTCAAGTTTCATTTTGTGTCATGTTATTTGCAAGAATTTGTTAGTTGAGTTGTTTCCACTCATGAATGATGAATCGTTGTTATTTACTTTTTTAACATGGTGTAATCATTTGGTTATTTAACATAGCCATGGACAAATCCACCATTTTTAATAGGTGAACCATCTATTTCTATGGTCCATCGCTACCATGGCTATGTTAGTCATAACCAGAGGGTATCTTCCATCAATCACCATGAGTAACCATTACTGACAATCATTAAGCATTATTAACATTAACTGTTATTAACCATTACAGTATTAACCATACTATTCCAAGATAGATGGAAAACCATGATGTAAAAACCCTGCCTCCCCAAGAAACACTGCTCCTAAGGAATCCTTTGAATTTTGGTTCTCCCTCGCGGGTGGTGGCACCTTTAGCCATGTTGGGAAGCCCGGCGTTTCGTCACTTCCGACTCTCTGACTTCTGAGGAAAGCTGCAAGGAGATAGCTAAGCTGGTTATAAAATCCTGGTTAGTCGGAGGGAAAAAACTATGACATGGTTAGTTGGAGGAAAAACATATATTATATATATATATACTATCTTTATTTTTTCCCCGGGCTTGACATGACTTTACCAATTGACGCTGGAATGCAAGCGGTGAATAACAGGAGCTTTGACCGGGGATTGAGATGATGGGGATTTCGCCAGCCAATTGACGTTGGATTTCACCAAGCATCATATCTGGAACGGATTCACAACCAGACATGATGGACTAACGCGGATTACTTGTTGGAAATCGGCATTTAGCCAAATTTAGCCAGAGTTGGTGTGTTGATATGTGTTGATCAAGCTTTCTTTGTATTGGTGGAAATTCCAAGGGCATCAATAGATGGCATCTCATTCCTTTGGTTGCTTTAAAGATCTCACTTTGGAACGACCAAAAAGAAACACAGAGAAAGTTATAGGAAAAGTTCACGAGAATGTGTTCCCTGCTTGGAAGTCATGTTGGGATACCACCAAATTTCGAGCAGGCCTTTTGCATTTGCCACGGAGGTATGTTGTTTGTGCATGCCTTATCGGCCTTATCAAAGGCCTCAATCAGATCATGTGAACCGCTGCAGCGTTTGCTCTCAGGGCACGGCATGGCAATCGGATGGGCCTTCGGAATTCACGCTCAAAGGTGTATAGCTAAACCAGATGGTTTTTACATGTTTTTTTCACCTCAATAACAACACCTCATGGTTTTCCATAGCCTCTCAGCGTTGATAACTATGAACATTCTACCGACGAAAATCCCTTCTGAAGTCTTTGTTTCCGCATAGCTTCATCCACAAGGCAGGTAGTTACATGTATATATAATCACCCCAAAATCTGGTGGTCAAGGTCGTGCCTGAAACAGGGGAAATACCCAAAGTGGTTTTCCCTACCCTGAGCCATGGTGAAGATCGTCGTCCGGCCCAAAAAGAACAAGGTGGCGAAGGACAGCATCGTGCCGATGCTTGGATTGCTATGGATTGCTGAGGTTTTGTTGTCAATGCCTCTGGTTTTGTTTTGTTTATCAATGATCTTTGGGATTCTTTGGGCCAGATTGGTTTGTCATGAATGATTAGTGTTCAATGTGTGCATGCTACTTTAAACGATGTGATCACTTGTGATTGGGGGTGTATCTAGTTGGACATGCCGGTACTAAGATCGAGCGCACCCACAATCTTCGCTGATTTTCCTCATGGGATGGTGGCATTGGCCAGTTCAGCTGGGCCGTTTTCTGCCGAAAATCCAATCATCACGCGTCAGTGAAGGCTCTTCTAGTGCAACACGCGCCATTCTATAAATGTGAACAATTTCCGTGTATTGTGTGCACCGAATGGTGCGAAATACACACATGAACAGTTGCCAATGAACATTGAACATGATTTCTGGGTCGTTTCTTTGCCTTTGAGCTTAGGTATTTTTGCGGCGTGTTTACTTTTTGCTACTGGTAGCCCCACGTCCATATTTGATATTGCTGGTGAAAATCCTTCGCGACGTGCAGAATCACCTTCTGCATCGTAATAATCTAGCATGGAACCCAAAGAACCGACAAAGTCCAATCATACCATGTGATAAACGCCGCAGTAATAAACTATCCCATTATTTAACCAACTGTTTTTAAATCTTTTTTTTGGGGTCATTTTACATCATCCCAGATCCAGGCCCACAGCAATTTTATAAGCCTCTTTTTGGGATGGTTCGTCATTGGGTTCACTGTACCACATTTTGCCAAACATTTTTCTGGGTAAATGATATATAGCGACCCTATTTTGATCTTACTGGTACCCTAGATGATGGGTTAGGATTGGGGAAATCGTCCACACATGGCCTAAATAATCTGGTTTGGCAAATATATATATATATGCATATACATATGGGTATATGAATTAAAAAAAAATAGATAGAGAGAGATAGATAGATAGATAGATAGTTAGATAGATAGATAGATAGATAGATTACAATTTTACTAAACATGTGTCTAGATGTTTCTAGATATCTATATTGGATTTTCAGGAGTGTAGCTGCATGCTCCTGATTCCCCCCAAGGAGGCCTCTCTCAAAGCAGCGCACTTTTAACTTGATCTACAGCCACTTGGGTGCAAGCAGAGTTAGGTTATTGTATAGGCTATTATTTGTTGTTGTATATCTACATACTATATCATACTAGATATCTTCATATATATATACAAATATATGCATATGTCATGATATTCGCATATGTTTTTGTATGCTACATCATTATGTAATACATATTTGCATATTTGCATATTTACACATACATATATATATATCTATCATAGAATTGGATGATGGGACAATTTACAGGAAAGCCCAACCAATTTGATGGTCAAAACCATGGTTTCCGGTTAAGATGTTCCCTTAAACCAATCCATTGAATATATATATATATATATATATGGATGGTAAATGTTACCATATATAGCATACATGGATCCTATGGGTATATATATATATATATTATGTACATTGTCTACCTGTGGAATGCCTCACAGCTGAAATCGCTGCCCTCGGAGGCACCAATTGGCACTGCCGTCCCTCGGAGCTCCGCGCGCTGCAGGGCTTGCCGCTGGAGCTCCAGGAGGCCACGCGACGCTTGAGCGCCGCGCAGCCGCTTTGCTGCGTGCCTTGGGCGAAGAAATGGCGGGTGACCGGTGATTTCATGGTTTTCTTAGGGAAAATATGGGGAACATATGGGAAAAGATGGGTTATTTTATAGATGATTTAGAGGAATAGATGATTCATTGATGGTTCATCACGATTTGTGATGATTTATGCTGATTTTCCTTTTAAACATGACGGATTTTCCAGATGATCATCATGTGTAGGTGATTTGCCACTGATTTACTTGTGAACAAGGCTATTATATCCATATTGATTACAGTATACATTATATATATATATTTATACCTATTAAAAGCATAATTAGTGGCTTTCCATCGGTATCTTGAAATGCCAGATGGTAAATATGTTGTTGTAAAATCAAAAAACATGGGATGTAGTAGGAGATTTACGGGATATTAATAATACAATAGTGGGATCATCATGGAGTTGTTATAGGATTTTAATGGAATAGGTATGCGATAACTATAGTAAACCATCCCCAATAGACGTGTATGAAATTGATTGAAATTGTGTATTCCCTATAACTGGGTTTACCACGCTATTGTGTTTTTTTTTGTAGCCCCCAAGTTTGAGACCAACTGAACCGCCAGTCTACGGATGGGGTTGGGTACCAATTTTGAGACAAATTAAAATCATTCTCCCACTGCCATGTGTGCTGTTTCCCATTATTATTTCATTAAATGTCCAATTTCCCATGTCTTACCGGTCAACTGCCATGCTTGTTGGTTTATAATCACCATTAACATCATTGACTGTAGATAGATATATAGATACATATATATATATATATCTACCATTAACCCAAGTTATTGGACTTACCAACTTCACCATTCTGGCACCATTTTTGTGGTTTATCCCATTCTCCCAGTGCCTTTGGACTCAACGCAGGACTTGACCAACCGCAGCTTCTGCCGCCTGTTGTGCCAAGTGGCATCCCAGCTGGGCTTCACGGTGAAGCGCTGGCCCGTGGAAGATGCCCCAGGGCCGCCTGGCGCTGGAAACCGGGAGTTCATGGGAAATGAGTTTTTGTCATTGCAAAATGTTGGAAATATATGTATATATATATATATACAATATATATATATGTATATGTATATATCTTTAAATAAGTATATATTTCTAGCATAACACATATACTGAGAGAGAGAGAGGTATATATATAACATTTGTATGAATATAAACCATCAACAAAGTGAAATTTCATGATGGTTCCTGTTTTATTGGGATATGATTCAGGATATGATATCTAACTAGCAAAACGTTTTTTGGGTGTGTGATTCTCATGTGATATGCAATGCATTTTTGGTAAATGTTCATTCGAAATGGATGGAGTTAGGTACCCTGTCTTCAGGCAAACCCATTCAAAGAATTTTGATTTTCATGGTGAAATGTGGGGATATGAACTTAGTTGGGTTTACTTGATGGGATTTTTCATGGCAAAATGTTGGGAATAGAGACATACATAGATATAAACCATCGATACAAGGTGATTTTACAATGATTTAATCCATAGGATGTTTGGCTGTGTCCTTTGATTGTGCCCTCCATGTGTTTTTCTTTTTCATGGCACATTGTAATGGAACAGGGGCACCGGACTTAATGGAACTTGCTGGGTTTATCATCCGAAGTCTTGGTGATCTAACCCATGGTTGCCAGCCAACTTCTCAGTAGGGTGGATCATCGCTTTTGGAAACCAAAGTCGGACATGTTCAAGGTTCCAAGAAATAATGTTGAACTGAGGGTGATTTTCTCAATCAAGGGTCCATGTTTGAAATTAAACACGAGAATCATTTTCACAAAGGATTGCATTTCCCAAGATAATCATTGATAATAAGTTTATTTTTTCTCATTTCGTGAAGGATGACACTTCCCATGAGCATTGAATTTTAAAGTCCCTGTTCAATTTCAGAAATTGACCCTCGACCAAGGGTAAAATTTCTTCAGTTTAACCTTGGGCGTATGCCGATTTCAGGACGATGAAGCCACCATTTTTGATGGACAATGGATTGGTTTTAGGGAAACATCTAAACCGGAAAACCCCATATACTTTCTGGGAAAGATCATGGTTTCCTCTAGATTTCACCATGTTTCATTAAAAAAAGTGAGTTCCTATATGTTCCAACATATTTTCCCATCAAACCATCCATTAAAATGGTCAAGCGTCCGTTTTGGCGCCAAGGTGTTGGGCTTTGACAAAGGCAGCCAAGCGTGGAGAACTGAAGGAGCGCTTGTTCTACATCAAGGATCTATTTACTATCACTAAAAGTGACAATATCAATGATGGTATTTTCCACATGTATATAGATGGTTCATTGATGGTTCATAAATTCACTTTTGTTATTTTCTAGATTGATGGTGTTACTACATCGATATATACCATGAACAGATGTAATCAGATATAATCAGATTGTGATAATATCCTATAATATGTATATATATATATAGAGTTGTAAACGACAAGAGATAGCCTAATGGATGTATATGATAGAAATAGCATGGGACATGTTGGGATATAGCAACCAAAAAGATAACAATCTATCATATATTGTTATTATCATCATTATTATTATTACAGTATTATTATTATTAGTGCAATTATATATATATATATATGTGCAACATACTCTTGCTTGCAGTGTAACAATAACCAGTAACTTCATCGTACAACCCTACCGGAAACACTTTTCGGCATCTTTTCGGTACTGCAATCAAGGGAAAAGATAGGATAGGAAAGTAATCTGTCCCTATTTGAGTAGGATCTCACGTTTGTACTTTTTTGGGGTTCGCCATAATAAACAGGCTCAGAAAATCATAACGGGCTCAGAAAATCATCATGATGCTGCTTACAACTACTCCCAACTCAAGCCACGAATCAACCATTTGTTCACTTTTGGTCTAACTTAGCCTTTCACAATTTTGCTCATCCAAACATCCTGTAAACACAACATGTTTATACGTTTCCCCTGCAGTTACACAACATAAGTGGCTTGAAAGCAGTTGACCGCAGGACACTTCAGCCATGATGCTGCATTCTTGGCATGGAGGTTACGAAAAGGAATGCCCCTCGACAGCGATCGATGTGGGGTTCTGCATCCTGCGGATTAATGATTGTTATTCATGGTTAATAATGGTTAATAGTGCTTAATAATGGTTATATAACCATCAGCCAACATATGGATAGTATACCCTCAAGTAAACGTTTACAGTTTGCTAGTGAAAATTGCCATTGAGTTTGTTGATTTAACCATTAAACATAGTGATTTTCCATAGTTTTTTGGTAGTTTACCAGAGGGTAAAATCATGATGAGTATCTGAACTGATGATATTCCATGAAAATCATCAGCAACCATCATTCCAAGGCATGTTCCATTGAGATTCATTGGGCCGGGTACTTTCAACCGGAGACCACCATAACCCGAGACCTCAACATTTTACCTGTAGTGTATCTCTAAATCCACCTGTTGATCATTAGGTTTCCCGATTAAGACAATGCCTAACTTTGGACATATCCAACCTGCATAGACTGGTGAATCAGTATGTTCCTTGTTTGGAAAATCATGAGTAGGATTTTGGATATACATAGAATATACTGATATGAACTAACATGTCTATAGATATATATATATATATATATATATGTGTATATATATATATGTATGCATATGTTGATTAGATTATGTTTATTTGATATATATATATATATACATGTATATGCATGTATGTAATGTAATGCAATGTGATGTGATGTGATGTGATGTAATGTAAGTATGTATGTATGCATGCATGATGTATGTATGTATGCATGCATATATATATATATATATATGATTATACATATTTACATATATATATGTATACATATTTGCAAAGTCTATGCAGTAAATAAAGAATTGAATAAGCAGTGAATAAACACATAAATATATTTATCTATCTATTTATATATTTATATATATGAACATGTATTTGTGATTATGTATGTATACAATGTTTTCAGGAACATCCAAAGGGTATGACAGATCCCAGCTCCATCAGGCGTGCCCAGCTGGGACTTCTATCCACTGCTGGAGGCGGAAAGCACACACATCTAACACAGTGATCTCTACATAGATATGTGTACTGTCTTATTATTTATTTACATCTAATATGAACTAATGTTTTAGTTTTTGTGCTTTTATTATTATATATATATATATATATATATGTATACAGATATAATAGATTATGGGTATATGTATGTTGTTTTTTGAATTTGCATGTCTACAAAATATGATCGCTACATATTACTCGGCGCCTCAAACACCAGGCGCTGAAGCGTCGCAGCCTCGTGGTGTATCCCTCCCCGGAGTTGGACCTGTTGCACAGCGCCAAGAGGCGGAAGCCCTGGAGCTCGGGAGGTCTCCGGAGATCTCGGGAGATCTTGGTGGATGAGATAGCTGAGATACCAGGCCCAATGAATCTCAATGGAACATGCCTTGGAATGATGGTTGCTGATGATTTTCATGGAATATCACCAGTTCAGATACTCATCATGATTTTACCCTCTGGTAAACGTTTACAAAAAACAATGGAAAATCAATGAAAATCACAATTTTTAATGGGAAAACTGACTATTTCGACTGGGCTATTTTCAATAGCAAACTGTTAGTTAGTTTACCAGAGGGTAACCATGTTCTTCATCACCTTTTTATGCACTTGTTGGGGTTGAAGAATTTGTTTTTTCATTCCAATGTGAGACACATGGAACTGAAGTGAAATCGTATGTAAGTTGGCAAATGATCATTCGGATGGTGAAACGATTATGTTTTATACCCTCTGGTAAACTAACATAACTATGGAAAATCACCATTTTTTTTATGGGAAAATCCACTATAAATGGCCATTTTCAATAGCTATGTTAAATTACCAGAGGGTAGCGTTTGTGGCTTGTTAATGCCCCTTTTATGCTACCAGGTATCGAAGCAAGTTCATGGCGCCCACGGAGTTTTTGACACTTGAAGCATGCGACACATGGGCAGTTGGGGTTGTTGGGGTCAGCCTCGACACAAAAAAGGTCGGTAATCCCAATTCGTGAAGTCCAATTCGTCAACCACACCATACAGATTACCATGTTCTCTTTGTATTTCACAAAATGCGATTATTTTGTTACTCACCCGTGGAGACATTCATGTACCCCCTTGGGCCCTTCATTTTGTAATTACTTGTTTCTCGCTTCCTAGCACAGCTAGGGCAGGGTGACCTAACAGCGATGTGGAGAGAGATTTGTTGTGGTCGCATACCCACAGTTTTGGTTTGAAATGTTCTTTTGATGATTCACCCACCCTCTTGAGATTCTCTTCCATGGTCCATTGATTGTTGCTTCAAAACTACAGGATCTACAGGTGTTTTGATCTGGAAACCCATCTATCCATCGGTGATTGGCCCAGCAATCAAAAACCAACTTAATTATTTGTTCAAAACATTTTAATCATTATTTATATTGGGACGCCCATTTCTGATTGACCCATTATAATTTAATTTGAATTAGAAAGGGGCTTCCTAGTTATGACAGCCTGCTTCCTATCAAGACTAGCAAGCGTCATATAAATCTCATTTTATCCCATATTTTTTGATTAGGAAACCCATTTCTACATGTGATTTTACCACTGTATGCACATCAATATCGTACCTTATATCCCATCTTCATCTCTATGGCTTGGTGTAACATGTTAACCGGAAACCATGGGATTCACCATCCAATAGCATCATAAACTGTAGATAAAGATAAATATCATAGATTATTTATGCAGATTATGTACAGGTTTTAATCAATTGTCATCATACATAAAAATCCAATGAATCTCCCATGATTCGATGTTTTCCCGGACTCCACCAAGGACCATGCAACGCCACGGCCACACCTGGAAGGCAAATGGCAAAGACCTGGCTGTGGCCACGCGCAAAGCCTTGAAGGCCCACGAACGTTGAACTCGGGGGGTGCAGGGTAGGGGTTCTTAATGGCTATAAGAAAGGTTCTTAATGACTATGATACTGTTACATACTGTTACTATAGTTGCTACTTAGTTGGGGTTAGTCTCATTTGTACAACTATATGGTAATATCATCCATAAGTTGGGATGTAATCCTATAACTATGGATGTACATCCCACTTATGACTGGAACCGCACCCCCAGTGCTCCAAGGGCCGTCTGAGGAGGGTCAACAAAACAGGTTCCAAGTCCTGTGTTTTTTTTCTTTTGGTGGTTATTCGCCGAGTACAAATCATTAATATCCCATCAAATCACCATAAATCCTGTGAAATCACCATAAATCCCGTGAAATCACCATAAATCCCGTGAAATCACCATAAATTCCGTAAAATCACCATAAATCATATTAAATCAGCATAATTTTCCATGGTTTGCGTCGTTGAAAGCTCTCCCAAATCATGGCCACGTCTTCCAGGACTTGCACAGCGCCGCCCTGGCAGTGGGCCTTGGCACGGAGAATGTCATGCTGAAGCAGGTGGGTCTCAATAGCATGACGATGTTTGCTAAGCATAATGGTGGTGTAGCTAAGAAAAATGGTATGATATAGCATGATATATATATATATATCTATATAGCTTATATACAGTTTATCTATAATTTATATATATATGGTGATATGATATATGGGATGATTATGGCTTTAATGGTTGATCATCATGATTGATAATTATGTTTTTAATGGTTGATCATGATGGTTGATATAGCATGATATAGCTATCACAGCTTTTTTTTGTGGCAAAAAATGATATACCAACCTACTTGAGCCATTAAACATATACGCTGGTTGATGGGTTGCTATAGGGACTTATACTAGCCGATTTACTGGGGATGATGATAACCTCTAACAAATTTTCAGACAAACCCGCTTGTGCTAAATATAGGGAATGGCTGGTGATACAAGCATATATAAGCCATCAATGGGTTATAAAACTATTAGGGGGCGTTTATATTTAAAACTAAAATATGTGTGGTGGGTCAGAATGGGGATATGAAGGTGATATCATGGGATTAATGGGAATATAGTCGGAGTATAGTGGGAATAGCGGAGATATAATGTGGCTTTCATGAGCTTAATGATCAAAAACGTGTCTCCACAGCGCAATGGTTTAGTTGATGGAAATAAAAAAACAGCAGTATGATGTATTTTAGTTTATGGGAAGCATTGCGCAAACAAGATATGTTTTATCCTTTGTTGGTAAATTGTTATATATATATATATGTGTGAATCATAGCGGTAAGTTTGAAGGTCATAGAGATTACACTATGGAGTCTAGTTAGAGTAACGTAGATTATAATGCAGAAGCACTGTTTATTGGGGTTGTATTACCCAGGTATGTTGAGCCCACAGCGTTGTTATTAATTACTGTTATTAATTATGGTTATTTCATGTTATTTCCCCTTATTGGCCAGTCATTATCTCACAATATCGCACAAAATCATAAACATCACACACAAACACACTCAAAGCTCGGAAATGACCCACCCAATCCATGTTCATCCCATAAGTATCCCCCCAACAGTTTGACCTTGCCATCCGTCGGGGATTGGAAGATTACTTTCTTGTAAGGATGGTTTCTTTTCAGGGTCCAGTTGTTAATTTGATGGAGGGTAATAATACACAGATGATCATCAACAATGATATCATCCCATACTGTAACTATCCCATAACTATAACTATAACTAATACAAAACAATGATCATCAACATATTGTACTGTTAAACATCTTGTAACCATCTAAACCATATGAAGCTACTATTACAAACAGTACTTTTTCCTATTACAAACAAGTAAATTATTACTATCAACCATATAAACCTATTACAAACATAGGAAACTACCTATTTTATTTGTCTATCCCATAGCTCTCCCACCCGAAACGCGCCGCGTTTTCACGGCGCAGGGCTTCTCGTGGGGCGGTGCTCAAGTCACACGCTTACGGCCCTCCGAGGTGACGTACAGGGCCCGGTGTCCGTATGGGCCCGGTACGGGGGACCGGTACAGGTGGCTGGAAAATCCTTCAAAATCCTAGGAGATGAGAATTTTAACCACTGAATTTTACCACTATAAATGGTGATTGAACCCTGATTAAATGGTGATTGAATCACTATAATGGTGATCTTTAATGGTTGAAGAATGGGTTAACAATGGTGAATGGAATGAGATGAGAATTTTACCCGCTGGTTTTTTTCGTTGACACAACTTGCTATTGAAAATGGCCCAGTCATTATCTTGTGGATTTACCCAGCTACATGGGGGATTTGCCAGCCACGTTTGATGACACGGAGGGTGCCCTTTGGTAAGTTAACAGTTAGCTAAGTTAGCTATACAAAATGGATGAAGATGGCCGTTTTATAGATGGTTTACCATGATTCAACCATATTTACCCATTCAATGTCGTGGTTGTCCATAGCTATGTTCCATTGCCAGAGGGTATATCGATTGGAGACTTGCTAATGGAGTTTTTTTCCGACTATTCTGAGCAATAGGCTTTATTTGATATATCTAACATCATCTAACATTGTTCTAATTCATAAACATCAATCTCCCAAATTTTCTCAGCCCCCACTCCTCCCCACAAAAAAAACGGTCGCCAGGTGCTGCAGTACCTGAGCACCGTGGTTTTGCCAAAGCTCCCAGCGCAGGCGGTGGAACTCACCGTGCTGCTGCAGGCGAAAGTGGACCTGGTCGCGGAACTGCGATGGATGGCCACCCTGCGATGGGTTAAAAGGGATGGTTAGGCTGGGTGGGATGATGGGAATTTATAATGGATAATCATGGTTAACAATATTAAAGGTAAGAATTACATATAATTATCATGGTCAATAATGATGAGTCCAATATTTTAATATGGTTAATAATGGTTATATAATGGTTAATAATGGTTAATAATGATGATTGATCATTATATGACATTATATGATCCTAAAGGCAACATTCCCATATTCAAAATATATTCACACATTCAATGTTTCATCATACTCCAGACCTTGGTTTTGGATGGCTTTGGTCTGTTACTTTATACTGTAATGGTCAGTAATGATGATTAATGGGTGATGATGATGATCAATAGGATTCTCATCCATCCTGATTTTCGACATATGTTCTGTCATGAGAAGTTTAGCATCAACATACAGTAAGATGATTTATTGGGATATATGATGGGAAGATCAATGAGATATATAACATGGCGGAGACCATGGAAATCAGGATCGAGATGGAAATGCTGATCGGAATTATGCCGTTTGTTCATGATCGGGCGGAGTATTGTAGGTTCAAGATTACCTGAAAAGAAACAGAGTATCGATAAGAACAAAAACAATGTTCATCCACATCAACAAAAGCACGCATGCTGGCGTAATTCCTTTAGCTTGGATGTATGATGTTGAGCAGCAGACCTGGTGATGTAACCAAGATAAGTTGATAGCCAGCAGTCGGGACGAGTTCCATAAGGCAGGCCATGTCACTTAGCCACCGCAGGGAATAGCCGAAATCCGTGTTGCCTTGGCTCAATACTCATCCTTGCGGGCCAGAGAATACTCATTTTTGTTTGAGAGATTTTGAGAGTCTGAGAATATGTCTATTGTTGTTGGTCAAAGTCGCAACACCTTGCTCATTACTTCCAAGTGTTCAAGAAATCTACGGTAATCAACATCAATGAAATAAACAGCACTAGATCAAAACATATGTAGTCCAGTGGTTAGGAGGGAACTAAGGAGCTGTGGGTAGTTATATTTCCTCTGAAATGGTTTTTATTACCCATGGCATGGTACTCCAAGGGCATACCATATCGGAATAATTACACTATTTTTAAACATCATGCCAGGGGATTTTGAATATTCAAACCGGAAACATCATAATTTGGGATAGGATTATGGGATTATTAATGCTGACAGGAATAATTCGATTGTATAATGCTGTAAGATGGGGTACTGGGGTTATTATTTATGCTTATCATGGTAAACTTAAGAAGTCATGATAGTGGATTAATGCCTTTATCAGAGGTGGACCGCAAGTAACTTAAACTTCACCGACTTAATTACCATAATTATCATTACATTATTCCACATGATAGTTTGATAGTTTACAGGAATGCAATCATTTTGTCGAATACTAGTTTTGCATGGTAATGCTGACTGTAATCGCACCATATACTGTAATCATGACTAATAACCGTTAATGAAACATACTGCCCATGGTACTTTCACAGTAATCTCATTCTTATGAAAATTGGCATGGATGTTTTTTCTCCAGCACCCGCGCCCCAATGCTGTGCAACGACAGGGTTCAAGGCGACGACCATGTTGGGGGTTGTTTGGACTATGCTACGCGAAAGACATGCACTTAATCCGCAACAGTAAAACGGATAAAATCGCTTGTGACTGACCTTCTCTGTCAAGTCGTAGTGGTACCACTTATCTTGCTTTGGATTTGGTAAAAACAATTCAATGCACTGTGCGCTTAGGTTTGCCAATCCCAATGCTGTGCTTGCCATCCTGCTCTCGGAGTGCCTGCATTTTGCAGGGAAAGCATTTAGTTGGTATGTGGATTGCTTTATAACCCAGTATTTACAGTCATTTTATCCTACTATGGCCATAGTTAATGCCATTCCCGGTACTATCGCGCTATAATTGCCGACAACACACTAAAATGTATTATATAAATGCATATAAATGCCATATTGGTATTGATAAGCCGCTATATCATTTCTATCTAACAATTAACATAATCAATATGTTCATTAATAAATTAGTAAAGTAACTCTTTTGGACGCCCTAGCAAAAATATGCACAGACTATACTTAACTACTGATTATTATATCATAGCAACCAAGTAACCATTAGCAGTAGTACATATTAACATCAGTAAAGTAGATCAATAAACCAACATACCAGACTTAACTATACTGGTCATTAAGTAACCATATCATATTTCCATTAACAGTACTTAATATTCCCTGCCATCAAGGTCCTGAACGGCGAGCTCCGTGGCTGCGGCTGGGTGACTTTGCCAGTGCCGCGCCTGGGGCGCAAGGCTAACTCCGGGTGCTATAAGCTGCTGGGACCTGACCGTGGCCTTGGAAAAAGGCTGGGTTTATGGCTGGTGAATGGTGTTTTTTCACATTTTTCACATGGTGAAGCTCTGAAAAACCTCAAGCTAGATAGTTCATCGGGTGAAAGTCTTACAGTTCAATGTAGATATATGCGGAAATTCTGTGGGGATGTCAAACCATTCCTGATTTTTTTTTTATGCAGTGCAAACCCAAGTCGCCTGCTATATTCTTGGATCCAAGATGCCTTGGAATATTTAAACATACACAGTATCCCGCGGAACTCAGGAACGAGCTGGCCTGTCGCCACTGGGCCTCAGGGATGAGCTGCAACTGGTGTTTCTTACAATGGGATCCCCAAGTCACCGTGGGTTTCAATAGGAAAGAATGCTCGAAAAATCTGGATGATTTTGGGTACCCGAAAATTTTAGGACACCTCCATAGAAGTGATAGTCGAATCGAGAATATTGTGATAATGTGGTAAAAATCAATAATAAACCATCCCAATAGAGGTTTGTGAACTTGGCTACGCCACCAGAAATGGCATTATGTTTATTATTACCCCCAAATGGTTGGTTAATGGGATTGTTTATTCTTGAGGTTGCATCTATCTATTTGTCTATCTATCTATCTTATCTTATCTAATCTAAATCTAATCTAATCTAATCTAATCTATCTATCTATCTATCTATATTCTTTAAATAGGCCATTCCACTTTCAATTCCCTAAGCGGTGTTCAAAAATAAAATCAAGGGGCTTGAGCCCCAAATATTTTTAAATTTATTTTTCAGAAGGTGCTCATCATAAGTTTTGAGTAAGTCAGACCCCTATGATTTTATTTTTGGGATATGGGCCAAGACCAAGAACCAACCCCAATGCAGATAATGCAGCTGGTGGAGTAGCTTTAGGTTGGGTCCCTTTGGTTTTATTTTTGCGTTTTGCTTACCTTTTTGTTTTGTTGGAACATGTTGGAACACACCTCTTGTGTTGGAATTGGTGGACAAGACATGATGAAAACAATGGCTATCATAAATAAAATCAATGGGCTTGGCCCCGAACTTTTTTTTTAATTTTTCAAAAGGTGTCTATCATGAGTTTTGAGTAAGTCAGATCCCTATGGTTTTATGTTTTTGACATGGGTCATGTCAAGTGCTGTCCAAAAAGCAGATAAAAACAGATGGCGAAGTAGCTTTAGGTTGGGTCCCTCTGGTTTTTATTGTGTTTACCTTTTTCTTTGTGGAACACACATCTCTTGGGTTTGGATATCGGATATCTTTGGATTCAATATTTGATAGATTTTGGGGAAAATGAAATCCAAGGTTCCCAAGCTTGTAGGATTTTGTTGGGTAGTATGGGTGGAATATATTGAATCTATGCTTTGTTTGGTGGTCACTATTGTTTGGGCAGAAAAGGATGCAGCCAGAACACGCCACAAAAAAGAAAAAAAACTATGGATTGCGATTACCTGATTACACCATTCTGCTTCTACAAAGCTTGAAATACATATTTAAAAGCTGGGTTTGGATATGTTTGGATTCAATATTTGATAGATTTTGGGGAAAATGAAATCCAAGGTTCCCAAACTTGTAGGATTTTGTTGGGTAGTATGGTTGGAATATATTGAATCTATGCTTTGTTTGGTGGTCACTATTGTTTGGGCAGAAAAGGATGCAGCCAGAACACGCCACAAAAAAGAAAAAAACTATGGATTGCGATTACCTGATTACACCATTCTGCTTCTACAAAGCTTGAAATACATATTTAAAAACTGGGTTTGGATATGTTTGGATTCAATATTTGATAGATTTTGTTGAGATTTCAGATGATTTCACAAACACAGATGCTGACCTTGAACCCTTCAGTTTTATTTCTGGAACATTTCGGATGCTGGCTTGGAACCTTCTTGATTTTATTTCTGGAACCTCTTGATTTTATTTTTGCAAACCCCTCAGTTGGATGACTGATGATTTTCTCTTTGCGCAACATGTGGGGTTGAACTCCCCTGATTTCATTTTTGCATTTTGGGGGTCAGTAGCCTGGGTGCCCTTGATTTCATTTTATTTTTCAGGGGTTCAACCCCATCTGGGTGCACCACAAGGGGATAATTTAATACTTTCAATTGAGTTGATTACCGGGTCTTTCACAATATATATATATATATATGCAATATATATATATATATGCAATATATATATATGTGCAATATATATATATATATATGCAATATATATATATACATATATATATATATATATACATATATATATATACATATATATATATATATTATAGTTTGTTAGTTGGCACACGCGGCATAGACGGCCGTGTACCTTTCACCATTTGTCAACATTTTCCTGGGTTTTGGCACGAGGTTGGTACTACGTCCACGAGGGTCTGTGGGTGGGGTGGGGTGGGGCATGTTAACGTTCCTTGTACATTGCACACGTTGTTGATGTTCCGCAGCTTGCAGGATTTGGGTCAGGGGCTGGGGTGGGGTGGGGCATGTTAACGTTCCTTGTACGTTGCACACGTTGTTGATGTTCCGCAGCTTGCAGGATGTGGGGCAGGGGGTGGGGTGGGGTGGGGCATGTTAACGTTCCTTGTGCAGAAGAAGGACGGTCACACTGTTCTTTCTCCAATAGTTTCGGAACTCGTGTTTCAATGGGCTTGGCGACAGCACCAAGGACCCATGTCACCAACTCAGTTCTTCACTGCGCTGCGACTCCTGAAACATTGAAAAAATGGGACGAAACGAAGATACGCAGATGTTCCTTGCAAGAAGTGCTGATGAACAAACGTCAATGCGAGTTGAAAAAAGTGACCGAAACGCCACGGCCGTCTGTGCGGCGTGTACCTTGTTAGTTTTCCATGGGTTGAGTGCGATGGTAGCCGGCTGGCAATTCCATTTGGTGATGGGCATAGGTTGCGCACCATGACAATGCCATAAGGGCCCAGGGACTGGGTGCCAGATTGGGCTGTCATGCACAAAACGAACCTAGATCCGACCGTATACGTACAACATCGTACAACCAAATTAGAATGAAGATGATATTCAATAATATAAAGACAGACCAAAGCAATCCAAAACAGGCACACAGAAGGACATAGTGAATGTGACACAGATGCAATGGTCTCCAGATAAGGAGAGGCACTCGAGAAGCTCAAGTTGGATCGGTTGAAGCTGGAAGAATCCATTCGTCCAAAGGCGCGGTGAAGAGATCCCGCAGCAGGTGGATGTGTTCTGGTTTGTTTTGTGTCTGTCTTGGCACGATTTTGCTTTATCAACATGTGGCAAATCTAGAAACTGGAGAATTCCTGGAAGTGCGGAGGTAAAAAGCAAGGACCAAATACTGGTTTGTTGTTTCAATTATTTCTCGTTTTCCATGCCCAAATTGGAAGAAAACAAAAAAAAGGGATGACGTTGATACATGTGATGTTCCAATGATTCCGCTTCCCAATGTCTCCAATTTTAAGAGTCTTTTTCACGTTGGAGTCAAAAAACCAGAAGCCTGGAGATACTTCCCATCCAGCAATCACACATAACACTAGAAAATTATGGCAAATTCACCATTAGATAGGTCACCTATTCGAAACTCCTACGAATAAGAAATGACACTCGAAAATCCATCATCAGATAGTTATTACCTCTGAATCGTGTGTGTTTTTCCATGGTCTCAGCCGGTTTCGATCTGTTTAAACCGCCACATTCCTCGCAGGTGGAAGCCGTGGTTCAAGAGGCCGTTTACGATGCTGGCGTCATGCCGCAGTATCTGAGGGTGGACTTCCTGGTCGACAAGCAAGGTGTGGTTTCAGATTGATCATGGGCTGAAACATAGGGATTTAGTGAGGATCCTGTGAAATTTCATTCAAAACCCAATAATAAATCCATTTTAAGTCCTCTTAACCCCCCCTAAATTCTTACAAGGTGGGCTATAGCTATAATATAGCTATAATTTCCACATACCATACTTATTGCAATGATACTCCAACAGAAAATCAGCTCTACATCCCATTAAATCACAATTTTTCCTGGTGAAATCACCATCTTCCCATGCTTTTCCCATGCTTTTCCCATGGCCCAGCCATTCAAAAAGCCCCAGCCAGGCCGGGCCTGGTTGGGCGAGCGCGAGTCCTGGGGCGCTGACCTGGTGCGGAACCAGGAGAATCCACAGGGTCGTCACTTGGTGGATTTCACTGGATTTCACCTGGAGATTTTTCTGGTGATTTGTGGGAAAAAGGTGGATGAAATCCCCAGAAAAGTCTGGGGATTTCATGGGGATTTTATCCAGAAAATAATTGGAAGCACAGCATTGTTTTCACCCAGTGAAAACCTCTGGGGATTTCAGTCGAGTTCACCAGAAAAAAAATTGGGGATTTTTGGATGACCCACATGATCCAAATATGTGGATTTCACCGAGAAATATCGCAGAATGGGTGCAAAAATGGATACGTGGAAATTCGTGGGGGAAACAAATGGTGGACAACAGAAACGAAAACTAAAAATGAAGATCTTGAAGAATCTTGAAGATTTTGATTTTCGGCTATTTTCGGTATTAGTTTGAAAATACTGTTTTGTTCTGTATTGAACGGGGTGAGGATGTCTCTCTTCTTGCAAATGCTTACCTTGTAAACGCAGAGGCACTTTGGCCTGGAAAAGACCAGACGTTCATTTGCCAACAGGGGTTTGTCTGAAAAATTGAGGGAAAAAACCCATTGACCCATGGATTATGTTTTAAACTTCCACATTCATTAAAAAGGCTATTTAGGTTGGTCTCCGATATTGTCAGGCGAAACGAAGCGGGTCTTTGTGGGTGACTGTCTGACAAAGGATGCCAGAGAATCCGCTGGTGAATCAGAATTGACAGCATTCGAATGTCAAGTTTGATGATATCTTTCAGACACACCCAAGTAGTAACTCACGCATAATATGGTTGTTTGTAAATTCCATTAATTATATCGGTGTCCCCATCATAGTTCTCCATAATAAATTCAAAAACATCCATTGGCATCCATGTTTTGACGGTTTATATTTCATTCCCATTCTATATTATATATCGCACTATGTATTCTCCACATTTTATTTAAGACCCACATATACCCACATATTCAACCCCGACAGCAACTGCAGACACATGTCTCTTCCCCACAAGTTCCCAAAAACGTACATGCCTCATATGGTTGTATTTGAATCCATTAACTTCCACTACCAGGACCATCCAGTTGAATCCCATGGTATATACTTAGTATAAAATAAATGGGTGGTTATTTGTCATATCCCCACTATAGTTTGACGATGTTTGATTGTTATACCCTATGCCCATGACATCCCAACATGGTTGTAAGTATCCCAGCATCATACTATGTCCCACTACCACCCACATATCCATTATCCATGAAACACCATAGAGCCTCTATCATTGATGCTTAAATCCTATGTTCATACCAACTGTGGTTCACCCCGGACAACTCCAAATTAAGTCCCCACTCAAAGTCATACATCGCCTTGTATGCTTGTTGTTTCCCATTATTGTCTCATTAAGATTTCGAATGTCCCATGTACCCTCCAGTACTCAAACACGGCTCGCCCCAAGTTCATTCGATGATTTTCCATGGCTCGGCGATTTTCCATGGTCGCCAAGTTGACTTATAACGTAAGGTTAACTAACTATCAGGCACTCATCATCAAAAAATGGTTAAACAAAAATAACAAGTATATGTAAAAGTCCCAAAAGAGTGGATATTTATAAACATGGTAAAAGTCTCAATTTAGACTGGATGTTTTTGAAACCCATTTTATTTATGGCTGCTTGGAGGGTCTAGGTTGGTTTATAATTTTGTAATGCTGTTTACAATCTGGTAATTTAACATACCTAATTTTTGAACATGGCCAAGAATAGTTGATCTACCTATTAGACATGGTGACTTTCCATAGCTATGTTAGTTTACCAGAGGGTATACATCAACGTATCACTGGGTCTCCTCACCGCACCACGGACAAGGTACCAACCCCAGCCGCGCGGAACTGGCACGTGCCATGCTGCATGCGGCATGGAGCCGTTCACGATGAAGTGCGGGGGATTTTACCCGTTGGATGTTCCTCTGTAAAATGCATCCGTAAAGCATCCTAGGGCACAAGTAACTTTATTCCGGCTAATTATACCTAGGTTTGGGTCATTTGGGGGACATAGGGACGTGTGAGAAGATATTGCTGTCCAAGCGCACATATGTGCCAGCATCTCCAGTATGGCATGGTCCAGGTTTGTATCAAAACCACGTAAATGAAAACTCTCGTGCCTGTTGTCTCCAGTTTGTTCCCAAAATAACTTTCAACATATCTTCGATGAAACCACTTGCACCTCGTATTGTTTTGCATTGCCAAAGGTGGCCTAATAAAAGACAAGTTCAGGTTCCAGTGGATGATCGAATCACGACCGGCTGCATGACATCCCTCCGTCGACGGGTCTCAACTTTGAACCGTCGAATTTTAATCTGAGCTTTTGCGCCTTTGAGATGTGAACTGAAGGGAAAAACATTGGGAAACAAGAATGGGTGGGCTGTTTGTTTCTGGCCACATATGGATATAACATGGATATAACATGGATATAACATGGATATAACTGGAGAAACATAGGGTTCAGCAAAGCCTTTGCAGGATGCTCTCGAGAAGGGGATGGAGGGTAGATCTTGGGCAATCTCCCAGCCAGGAAGTGTAACATGAGACACAGTCAGCTTATTCCTCATTGTCATGGTGTTGAAAGAATTGTATAAACAAAAGCTTACATACTCTTAACTAAACCAGGCATTGCGGGTTGGATCATGTTTTTCCTAGTGAACTCTCCACTGGTGTCTCTCAATTTCTTATTCTTATTGCTACGGCTCCATCCGTTGGTGTCATCTGTCCTTGTTTGTTGAGTCCGGACATCCGGACCTCCATAGCAAACACCTAGGAGCCACGGGTGTTTTTTCGAAGGCGATCTCAAGGGCACAGAGGGTGTTTTTTTTGATGAATGGTTGCGTTTGAAGCGTGGCGATGGCTGAATGCCACAGATCCACATGAACATCATGAACGGCCTCATCACTCTTAGAGTCTTAGATCGGCAAGAAAAAAAGTCCGAATTTACAAGGAGGATTTGGAATTAGCCTCAGGTAATTTCGAAGAGCTATGGAAAATTATGATTTTCAAATAGGGCAATTAATCGTCTATAAATGGATCATGGGCCATATGCTAAACTACTGTAGTTATGATCAATGTTCCAGACGCTGTGGATAGTACATGATGTCCGCCTGTCAACCATTCCAATGGACTGTACCAATCTGTGTGCAGCCTGGTTTCTGCAGTCGCTGCCAATGTGAAATGTAGAAGTGAAAGCGCATCAAGCAGCATGACAGTTCGATACACTTTATGACTTGATGGAAACTCATCAGTTGTTAATATTGTTAATAGGTAAGTCATTTAAGTAGTAATCCCCTAACTTAAAAATAAAAGTCAGAAACGTCTTTCCAGGATAGTACACAGTATGCATGCTATGTAACCAACATGTCCATCGATTTCTACCGGCAAACAAGCAGATCATCATCCCGCAGTCTGGCCATGTCTGGCGTGCTGGAGAGTGAGAGAGATATTCAAATGACATCTATGGGATATATTATATATATAATTATATATATATTGTATTTAATGGGATATGTTTTTTCATCGGTCTTTTGAGTCTGCAAACTCGTGACGTTCTTTGGGATATATTATATATATAGGATCAACTACGTGTATATGTCCTTTATCATGTTGTATACTTTCCAATAATCCAGTGGAAATTGGAGTACCATGTTTTCAGACACAACCATATTATCACCATACCATACCAAACATTACTAAACGCATGACTGTTTGAATTGAAATGCCGAAGATTTTTTGGCATTGGTTTATCTCATGTTAATTTTACCAACCATACATCTTGGTGTTTGTGTGTTGGGCGGGATGATGACGTATGATGATTCCCTGTTTCAGAAAGGACTTGCTGCTTGATGCTTAACCGATCCGACGGAGGAATTGGCGCCACCTGCGCGTCAGATGCCAATGATCAAGTTGAGAAGCAATGAAAAAAAACATGGACTGGGCCCAGAGCGCTAGAATTCAGAATGCCTGAAAATCTTGTTGCGAAAGATATAGCTTAATAGGCTTAATATAGCACCTGGCTGTTTTTTATGGCTGGAAACCACATGGTATTTCATTCTCCATCTGTAGAAAAAGGTGGAATGACCCCGCTCGGGCCCCCACCGAGGCCGACTCCTATTGTGAAACGACCATCTCAATGCAGTTCAAGGGCAAGAAGTGGAAGCCTCAGTCGTTCGCTGCAGGAACCCCCAAACTTGGATAGCACACAAATGATCTCTTAGAGTCTCAATCTATCAAGAGCCATTTAAGAAATCTGAACATGTAACATCCACAAAGATCCACAAACCATGCAACTCATGTCAGTGGCTAAGCACGTCAGTGGCTTCTTCAAAAGCAACCGCACACCGTTCCCGCGCCAGTTCCCTTAAAAAATGGATGCTTTCAGGCCATGAAAGAGTATCGTTGGAGTCTCACGATTTCCAATTTTTATCTCATTGAGAATTCATTTTTTGATTCAAAATCATTACTCATAACATCTCATAACTTTAGCCTTTAGTAACTTAAGACAGCGGAAATCACGTGTTTCTTTTAGTGTTTAACCATGTTTAACAGCTATATCCTTTCCTTTAACGATCAAGGCGATGGCGCATCCAAGCCTTTCCAGAGATTCGGCATCACTTCAACGCCGGAGCCACGGGGGAACCTGGCCGACGATCCGGGTCGAGTTGTGGCCCACTATCTTTTTTCCGGGTTGACAAACCAGGCTTTGGGCTGAAATATGGGTATGGGTCAATACCTATAGATACATTTTTAGTGGGATGAACATCCATTTTAACCCAGCTATGACTTGGGGTTCACTAGGTACCAGGGTTTTGACCCGTCCCCATATCGGATCTTTTAGCAACAAGAACTGTTGGAGTATTGTGGGACGATATTTCCTGATCATCATGGGGGAGAATTAGGGCCAAAAGGCTGTTTGGTGATGTCACGTTCTGCCCTGTGCAAACGCGCTGATTTCCTAAATAACATTTTATAATATATAATTTATATATAAATAATAAATCAACAAATATATATATATATATATATATTAAATATATATTATATCTATGTATATATTTATGCACATATACATCCCCCTTCCTTTGAAGGTTGAAACCGTGTATTGTGTGTAGGATTGTAGCATACACATATCACAATAGAATCGGAGCTTGGACCAATGAGCAACCTCAGTGCTGTTTAGGTTGGCGGGAAGTTTGGCTTAAATGATGCATACGAACGTTTGATTCGGGTGGGCATTTTCTCAGCGTTGAGTGCTGAATGGTTTTTGCGACAGACAGCTTGTGCATAGAAGGAGTTTTGCTGCTGCATGTTGCTGCTTATTCCGTATCGGTAGTACAGTCTCCCTGTTTAGCGACCGTCACAAAATAGCTTTACCAACATCACACAGCAAGGTGTCCATTATTCACCGATTCCAGACATCCTCCCAATGGTTGCTATATTGCTGTAACATATATACGTGCTTCGTCATGATTCCCTTCATTTGATTTCCTAGAAACCGAACCTGGAGGCCACAGCATTCGGGGACGAGCAGATCTATGGTGGAAGACAGCACGTGCCATGGACGCCGGCCCGGGCTCCAAGTAGGACCAACTGATTGGGCAGATGCTGAAGGAGTTACCAACAGTCAAGATACGATCAATCCAAGAATGGTTATATATGATGATGCTTAATGATGATTAATAAGTGTTAATGACGGTTGATGATGATCATTGATGACCAACATTTTGATTTTGGTTTTGGAGATGCAGAAACCGCTTTGAAATATGCAATAAATCAATATAAATCATGTAAAACTGTGTGGAAATGAAAGAGAACTCTGTGGATATGATGTGAGAACGATACATCTTGGCAGTTTATTCTGGTGTCCAACATCAATTTTGGTCTCCTGTTTCTTTCTTTTTTGTTGAGTTGGTCAGCAGCTTGTTTTGGGGACCTCGAGGAGCCCTGGAAGACATAGAAATAAATATATACTGGTTGGATCTGGTGGGTGGTTTCAAACATTTTTTATTTTCCATTTCATATATGGAATGTCATCCTTCCCATTGACGAACTCATATTTTTCAAGATTGTTAAAACATGTTAAAATCACCAACCAGTATAGATACGGCTTACGGTATCTTTTGGCCTTGTGGTAAACTGAGCTGTCAATGGGAAGTCTCCATTTTCGACATTTGCAGCGATGAGCGATGAGCTGCAATGGATAGAATGCAGCTCAGCCTGCTGGCCCCTCTTTGAGGCTGATTAGAAGACTGCTGTACTGAAGAAACATGCCCACGTCCTATTTCTGCATCATTGAAACCTTGGATTCCAATACCAATGGGAACGTATAGCCTTGACATAACCTTGACCAGCATCAACAGTTGGACCACGCTGGATTACATTCCAAGGTTTCAGGGAACAAAAACTGTCCCGGATCGTCCTCAACTGAGGAAACCGAGTTCACAGTAGGTCCTGGCCAGTTGGGGCCTCTCAGACAGCCTGGAACCTGGAGCCAAACCCCCTGGCCCTAGGCTGTTCATTGGGGGGGTTAGCCTGTAAATTCATCAACCAGGGTTTGCGGGGTGAACAAATTATCCAAGATCGGATGAAAATACAGTGTTTGATCTATATCCAGGGAGAATCAGGAACCAAGCAGTCAGGGCTTCCAGGAGGAAGATCTCAACCCATCCTGGTGTTTGGGTGAGCATGCGTGAGTGGATTACCCACTAGTGGGGGAAGTCAGGAACATTAATGAACATGAGTTGTTGATATCTGTTACTGTTGCATCTCTATGTGCTCACTTTTGCCCGCAAACTTGGATCATTGGATTGGTTGAAAACATATTTTACAGGATTTTCCTTTATTTGATGGTCAAATTCAACAAAAATAATGTTTTCTGTAGGTTTTCCCAATCAAACCAATCCATTGAATCATACTTTCCGATGGCTTGCCTCCAGGTGCTTCGTGTTCCCCACGGGCTACCTGCACGTGCCTGGGCTCATGTGATGATCATACCCAATGACTTTCAGATTTTTGCAGATGGTTCAACCGCCAATCAGAAATTGAGTTGGGATATCTATCTATATACAGTACCATAGATAGCCAATAATGTTATAATATCATAGCATACCAAATGGTATCCATATAATGTATAGACAATGTTATAGATCAGCCATATATGCTGCTTTATGCTATCCATATAATAATGTTTTTCAGCGGAAAGCAGATCAGCCAATCATAGCATGCTGCTTGAGGCTTGATGGAAAGAACCAATCAGAGAGTACATTCTGAATCGTTGTTTGGGGATTCAAAGCACGTGATTCGCTTGCTGTTGCAGCAACTACCCCAGTCACCTCCAATATGTTACGGAAATATAGTTTTCTGGAGCTTTGGAGCAGATGTCACAAGGCCAGGAGTCAACCAGCTGGTCGAAGCCCCAAAAATGTCATCGGAACTGCTTCAGGAAACTTTCGTTGATCCGGACAGCAACGACCAGCAGTGCTACACCGCCTCAACGTATCAGTCGGGGGGCAGAGTGAATTTAAAGAGGCCAAACATTACCATACATTCCCCAACCTACTTGGTATATAATTAATGTTCTATATTAATAAATGCTGGTCATCCCCTGACCAGATGATGTTAATGATCATATACTTGGAATGAGAGAAAATTGTTTGTTGGCCATGGGGTATAGGATTGGATTGTGAAAGACGTGGATTGGATCTTACCACAAGACTGTTGTGCGCACCATTTTTTTTGGAGAATGAGGTTACTGTACTTGGGTCCACCTTTGTTTTTTGGTAAGGCTAGGGTCAGAAACTGAAAGAAAGACACGCCGGCTAAAACCTTTACCAAGCTGGACCAAGCTAAGGTATCCAAGATATCTGAGGTTTTAACCAGATAAACCTGGTATCTAGTGGCTGACCTTTCATGGTACCTCCATCAATCCAAGATTGCAGCGTGCCAGCCTTTGAGGTTTAACCATCCGCGACAAGTCAACCTCTACAGGGCGTTCATGAGCTACTGGGTTGCAGGGTAAATGCTGGGCACCTGAGTTAGGGTAGATTCGGAGGCTTCAAGGTTTTTAAGAAAAACACTGAGTTAATGAAATGCATTGAAATGCCGGATTTAGAGGCTTGTTCCTTGCTTTGTTTTTTGGGCCTAGGCTATGTATACTGTATGCCAGTGATGGATGGATGATTTTGGACTCGAGATGATAGACCAGCATAGACCAGCCATCAGCAGCCTGCATTTGAGGTCGTTTCTCCATGTCGCACTATGGCTTAGGTGCCGACATCTTGCCAAGTCGATTGACACCATGCACACGACATCCATCAGTTCCTGCTGCAGGCGAGCCCTGCTTGGAAAAGGTCGAGTCTTACGCCACGTTGCTCCAAGAGACACGGAGGCGGAGATAGCGAGATCCGTGGAGATTCGCGGATGTCCTGGTAGAGGTTTGTCCATTCGATTCACGGGCAACCATTTTTTTTTTTCGGGACATTTTAGTGCGACATTTGCCATCAAAACTAGGGGTTCAATAAAGTTTCAATGGGATACATGATGGGAACATCAATGGGATAGAAATCCCTTGCGGCCATCAAACATGGCCATCACCACGGCATACCACGGCTATTAGTTACCGGAGGGATCCGAATAGATGGAGAGAATACCGTTGATTCATATTTATACATATTTATACATGTGTATGCATCATTTCATGCTCTTGTTCATCACCAACCTAGGTTTAGAACGTGCAGTTTTTTCCCTTTGATGGCCATATGCCATCGCTTAAATTTTCAAGACCTATGAGGGACTTTTTTTTTGCAAACGACCAGTTCAACCCACAGGAATTTAATTCTGACACATTTGGGGATATCGGCCAAAATTCATCCAAAAAATGGACGGGCAATGTCCAAACTGGGTCTTGAGTTGTGCCCCACGTTGAGTTCCGATCCGGAGAGCCACCCAAAAGTCGGATTCGAGTCGGTTTCGGGTTTCGGGTTTCGGGTTTCGGGTTTCGTCGATTGAAACCCACTTTCGCTGTCGGTTTCGGGTTTCGGGTTTCGGGTTTCGGGTTTCGTCGATTGAAACCCACTTTCGCTGTCGGTTTCGGGTTTCAGGTTTCGGGTTTCGGGTTTCGTCGATTGAAACTCGGTTTCGGGTTTCGGGTTTCGGGTTTCGTCGATTGAAACCCACTTTTGCTGTCGGTTTCGGGTTTCGGGTTTCGTCGATTGAAACCCACTTTCGCTGTCGGTTTCGGGTTTCGGGTTTCGGGTTTCATCGCTTGAAGAAACCAACTTTCGCTGTCGGTTTCGGGTTTCGGGTTTCGGGTTCGGGTTTCGTCGATTGAAACCCACTTTTGGTTTCGGGTTTCGGGTTTCGGTTTCGGGTTTCGGGTTTCGGGTTTCGTCGCCTGAAACCAACCTTCGCTGTCCGTTTCGGGATTCGGGTTTCGGGTTTCGGGTTTCGTCGATTGAAGCTAACTTTAGCCGTCCGTTTCGGGTTTCGGGTTTCGTAGGTCGAAACCACCTTTAGATTCACCAGTACGATGCCGATCTCACATCACCCAAGTGTCGTTCTCCATGCAGTCGTCAAAAACAAGAGCGGTGAGTGACAAGCGCCTGAAAAGGTCAGAGAGGAAAAACGGCAACGGTTTGGGGGAAACTAGCTGTCACTGAGTGGATTAGATTAGATTAGATTAGATTAGGTAGAGTAGATCAGATTAGATTAGGTAGAATAGATTAGATTAGAATTGGATTAGATTAGATTAGATTAGGTAGAGTAGATCAGATTAGTTTAGGTAGATTAGATTAGATTAGATTAGATTAGGTAGATTAGATTAGATTAGATAGATTAAACTAGATTAGAATTAGAGTAGGTTAGGTAGATTAGATTAGGTTAGACTATATAGATGAGATGAGATTAGAATTATATTTGATTAGATTAGATTAGTTTAGGTAGATTAAATTAGATTAGGTTATCTAGATAGATTAGATTAGGTTAGATTAGATTAGTTGGATAGATATGATATGATATGAGATGACATGATATGATATGATATCATTAGATTAGATTAGGTTCGATTAGAAATATAAGATTAGAAGAAGTAGATTAGGTTAGATTAGATTAGATTAGACTAGGTAGATTAGATTGGATTGGAATAAGAATTTTTATAGAATAGGTAGATTAGATTAGATTAGATAGATTAGATTAGATTGATTAGATTAGATTAGTTTTGGTTAGATTAGAATCTGATTTGATTAGGTAGATAAGATTAGATTAGAATTAGATTACTTAGATAAATAGATTAGGTTAGATTAGGTAGATTAGATTAGGTTAGGTAGATTAGATTAGATTAAAATTAGATTCGATTAGGTAGAGTAGATAAGATTAGATAGGTTAAACTAGATTAGAATTAGATTAGATTAGGTAGATTAAATTAGATTAGATTAGATTAGATAGATAAGATTAGAAATAGATTAGATTAGGTAGATTAGATTAGATTAGATTAGATTAGATTAGAATTGGATTAGATTAGGTAGATTAGAATAGATTAGATTAGGTTAGCGATCGGTCCTGGGGAAGTTAAGTCTTCAGAGTCGGTTTCGGGTTTCGGGTTTCAGGTTTCGCAGTTCGAAACCAACTTTAACAGTCGGTTTCGGGTTTCGGGTTTCGGGTTTCGGGTTTCGGGTTTCGGGTTTCGGTCGGTCCTGGGGAAGTTAAGTCTTCAGAGTCGGTTTCGGGTTTTGGGTTTCGGGTTTCGATCGGTCCTGGGGAAGGTATATAAGTTCGGTTTCGGGTTTCGGGTTTCGGGTTTCGGTCGGTCCTGGGGAAGTTAAGTCTTCAGAGTCGGTTTCGGGTTTCGGGTTTCGGGTTTCGCAGTTCGAAACCAACTTTAACAGTCGGTTTCGGGTTTCGGGTTTCGGGTTTCGGGTTTCGCTGGTCGAAACCAACTCTGCAGACCTCTCTCCGGATCACGTCTCCCCACGTTCATTGGCTACTCTATATATGTGCCTATGCCCGTACTGATCAAGAAGCCAGCCCCCCTGTTCCAGATTTCATGTATTTCCAGGTAACATTTGGAGGATCCACGCATGTTTCATGCGTGTTCATCTCATGGCAGGTTCTTAGTAGCTCCTGACAAGGAGAAGATGAAAGCAGAGGTCGGATGCTGACAGTCCCACAGGATCCAAGCTCCGCCATGCTGCACAGGTAGCCGAATTGTAAACCAACTTGGCTAAGTATGGGATACCCTCTGGCAATTTATAGTTGATATAACATGATATAACAATTTAAAATGGATAACAAATGGTGATTTTCCATAGATTTCCATAGTTATGTAAACGTTTACCCAGCGGGTATGGGCGCCAAAGCGAGCCCCAAAAGTACCCAGGGGTCATCCGCAGGCCGCGCGCGTGATGAAGTTCATCGACTCCGACGGAGATGCGCGGAGGGGAGTGGATCCAAGGGATCAGTAAACCTGGATTTTTTGCTGATGGTTTTTGTTATTTTCCCATTGAATTCTACCATTAATGATGGTTAATAATGGTTAATAATGGTTAATGATCATATCTGGTTGGTGGTTTGGAACATGACTTTAATTTTCCATATATTGGGAATAATCATCCCAACTGACGAATTCATATTTTTCAAAGGGGTTGAAACCACCAACCAGTTGCTGATGATTTTAAAATTCCCATTGAATAATCTACCATTTATGGAATTTCTGGCGGAATTTATGGTATTTGTTGTTTGGCATTGAGGTTCCAAAAAGCAAATCCTTAAGTTTATATTGGGTTTGTTTCACTCATATTGAACCATCAAAGATGGGGTTCTTCGCACCTGCCAAACTGGTCATCATTTGTTCCACATAGATACCGAAGATCCACTATTTGGACATAATTTTCCCAGAGGTTTCCCCACGGCTTTTGTTGTGATGTTGAGATGTTTTTCTAGGTTATCATGTCCTACCTACCTGGGATGGCCCCACTACTACTACCTGGGATGGCCCCACTACTAAGTAGCACCTAAATTGTCTCTATGTCTAAATCCAGGATTAAACCATGAATGGGGGGTGGGATTAATGTGATTTCACACACATCCCAAGATTTTCTGACCGGGTATCTGAATTGATGATTTTGGATCCCAAATCTGTTGGCCCCCAGCATTGGCTGAATGGTCATTTTTAGGAAACCCCACATTTGGGCGGTAAAAACATGGGTTTCAACATGTTTCAACTTTTTTACTGAAACCTAACCAGTGGATAACCGAATATCATTTAATCATATACCATTCATCCACCATTCTTTATGGGTTAACTCGCATGTTTGCCACCTTTAAACCGTGTGGGCCAGGGCCACTTCACCAACGAGGAGTTGCCGGGGACTCTCAGGGCGATACGCATCCTCTTTCACGTGAGGTTTGTGATGGCAATGGCCGAGGTACAATGCCTTCGCAAAGAAGAACGCCAAGACCCGCAAGGAGAGCCTTTTTGTGCAGGGGTGGATTGGATCAAGGCTGTTGGAGCAGAGGTGTGGGTCACTTTATTGTACCTAGAAAGGGAACGATCCCCGAAGGAGAGTGAACAAGTCAGTTCCTAATCATTGACTAACATCAGGAACATCATTCAGGAATCCTTCGGGTATCAAAACCCCAGTGCCCCCCCAAAAAAAAGAAAACTACAAGGTGGTGCACCAGTTTGGCATCGCTAAATTGGCTAACATAGTTCCAATAACGCATGGGTTTGCGCCAGGAGATCCTTGGACGGGGAGATTTCAGGCGGAGCTCCAAGATGTTAGCGAAGGAATTGGTGGCAGTTTCGTGTTATGCTGTGGCAAAAGTAGGGTTTGGCTCTCAAAACATCATATCATATCATATCCTCATGTTTCACACTGAAATCCCTCCTGGGGCTCTGAAAACGTCTCAGTACCACCAATGTGATTCATGTTGGCACACTGGGACACCAACATTTGATGGATTCAAAGGCAAGTTTGTATTCACAGAATTGGAAGATGGGAAAATGAACTATGGAACCCCCTGACTACTGGCAAAGTCACAGCCGTCCGGGGAAGATCTTCCCAACCAATCCACTCACTGGAGGTACAACTGGATCAAATTGCTGTCGCCCGAGCAAAAAGATGCGCTGACAGAAGAAGCCATGGGTGTGTGGGTGGAGGCCGGTCTGTGTGGGTCTCGATGGGTTGGGGTGTAGCAAATGGTGTAGCAAACTCGTTTTTTTAAGGAGTGATTTCCCACCATGGTTTGATGATGATGTCCTTTTCTATACTGTACTGGTTGGTGGTACCACAATTGTATCCATTGAAGTTCTTGTCATCAGAGTCCCAAGCGACCACTCAGCTGGTGTAGGATGCCCTTCAGTACCATGACGTGGACCGAGACAAGAAGGTCTCTCTGGAGGAACTTGCGCCAGGAGACCAAAGAGGATGGAATATATTCAATGGCCACTTCAGGTACCTAAATTGGAGGTGCCTACCATATTCAATGGCCTATGTGAGGGATATGTAAGGGGATACACACACACACATATATATATATACATATATAAATATGTATATATATATATATATATGTGTGTGATACAATACTGGTCGGTGGTTTGGAACATGAATTTGATTTTCCATATATTGGGAATGTCATCATCCCAACTGTTACTCACTCCATCATTTTTCAGAGGGGTAGGTTGAAACCACCAACCAGAATATGTGGAATGCTGGAAACGAAATGGAGAAATCCGCCATGGCTACCCATGATATCACATGATCCCACATGATAGATGCTGGAAGTCCTTTTTGAAGATGCATCAAACATTGGGATCTGACCGTCAGACGTGTGTTAAGTGGGACTTCTGAGCTTGCTACGTAGCTGCATTCTCGCCTTTGCCAAATGACAGCTCACTGGAGATGGCGATGAAGAGAGAGATAGAGAGAGAGAGAGATAGAGAGAGAGAGAGTCTAAACCTTGGGATTTTGTTTCTTCAACACATCCTTTTCCAATTTTGTCCAAGGATTGTTGAGAATGGCAGGTGTGAGTTGGGAAGTCAGGAAGTAGAAACAATGGATGTTCATGTTGCAGGGACAACGTTGTGCTTTGAATGATTCAGCATCATGATTCAGCAGTGATTCAGGGCAGTACAGGTGGATAGAGCAACAATGATGGCTCCACCACTTCTACATCGCATGATCACTGGCTATGCTATAATGATCACATTAATATAATAATTAAAAATCATGATAACTACATATTATTCGTTTAAATAATGATAATAATGACAATATTTATATAATTATATATGTATAAACAAATGTATATATATATATATATGCACTAGTCATATAGCCATTATAATCATGCAATTGCGACACTCCCCTCTCTCATTATAGAATATTATACTTAAAATCATTACTGTTTATTTCAATCGTTATATGAAATTTCTATGATTGTGGCAATCACTTTAACCATTATGATTGTAGCATTAAACAATCCCAGGCAGTGCCTTTCTCAACATGCGGCACTTGTCGCCCTTGGAAACCGAGGTACAACTTTCTGCATTGGAACGTCATCCAGTCTCGCTCGGAGAGGCGCCAGACGATGCCAGACGATGCCAACGTTCCACATCGTTCCACGGTAGTCGACATGTGTAGCGGGGAACCGTTCGTACCGGAAAAGGCATCAACAAAGCAGGACTACACTCCTGTAAGCAAACATAGATTGGGAAAACTTTGCATATACATATACAGTTACATATATATATATATTGTATTATATGATATTATATGTGCATGTATATGTTGGACGATTAAATATGTTAGTTGGGGGAGTGCCCTACAAAGTCGCAAGATCACGGGAGTATAAAGGCAACGGGATGTCCGGTCTCGTGTAGGGGATTTACAGATATTTGGGACACAAAGAGATTAACCATGAAAGTTCATAGATACGGATATATATATATATATATATTGCTAAGCATCATAAGCCATCTATAGTTGGGATGACCCCCGGTCATCAAGAATGGCAAGCTGGGAAATCACCAAACAAAATTGGCATTTAGATGAAGGACTCATGGAAGTATATGAAATATATTCCGGCAAACCATGTGTTTTTTTAAACCAGAGGACACCAAGAGTCCAAGAGTTCAGGCTTTGTTTGAACATATTTTGCTCCAAGATGTGATGCTTAATCATCATCGCTTTTCCGATTGAAATTGTGATTATTTCAAGCACCCTTTTGCGGCAAGCCGATTTGCAATATTCTAGACTTCCAGCTTTCAAAGGCTATTTCAGCCTCCTACCACAAGTGTAGATCGCTTAATTATATGCAATATTCCACTTGCCCTCCAGTAATCATCCACCATTTATAGGTGATTTTCCCGTCAAAACTTCGCTTTATAGGGGATGTTCCATTGCCCTGTTTGATTATATATATATATCCCATAGGTTGATTATATATATATATATATATTGATTATATATATATATATTGATTATAGATTATGTATATATGTTGGTTATATATACTAGAAGGTACCTGTTCTTCCCAGGTCTTTGCCGCCAATTTGTTCCATCCCTGGCAGGTTGCGGAGCATCCGCACCCGAGATGCCAACGGATGGGTCCAGGAAGCTCTGAAGATCGAGAAGGCGCTGCCTGCGGGCCACGAGGTGTGCCTTAAAATGGGGGTAATACCTTCAGTAAACCAACGACTACTAACGTAGCTATGGAAAATCACTGTTTTTTTTCCTCTGGATAGATCATCTATAAATGATCCATGCTCCATAGCTATAAAAAGATTGCGATGTTAAATTATCAGAGGGTACGGGATACCTTATAATTGCAAAGTTCGTGGGGAACCAGCATGATGATATATATATATATATTTATATAAACTAGTCGATTTGGGGGGTTCAGGTTCAGGTACCTCTCAGACAAACCATGACAAAAGAAACATGTTTGTTCATCCTGCAATAAAAAAAATAAAAAAGGCAATAACATAGACATAAACAACGTGTAATAGAAAGTGAGAGAGAGAGATGATATGAAAATTATGAAACACCATGTTTTCCTGAGTTCGATTTAGTTGTTCTCAAACCTTGGGGTGCCACAGGAATACTTGGAGCGATTCTTCTGCGAAAATCCTCAGGCTGATCAGGGCAGAGCAGGAATCACGGCAGGAGTCATATCAATGGAATTTGTATCCTGATTGGTGATGTCCAACATGTTTTGGCTTTGAACAAAAATTAGCATCCTTACTTTCTTGGATGATGATGCACACAACTTTGACTCAGGTTCTTGGGATGTGGTAGCTCAACCACAATTCTCTAATGGTTCAATTCTTGTTGGAGAGAAATCACTATGGGGTGCAGCAGTATCATGGGTCCTTATGAGCCACATATAATGTGAAACAGAGGCTTGAATAGGACATTTATCTATCAATGGTGGGTTTTTCATATTTGATTACCAGAGGGTATACCCCCAAGATGATAGCTGTTAGATCACCATTGACCACCTACAATAACCATCAGCCAATATCATTGCATTTGATTGTTAAATCATCATCCATCAGCCACTATCTTCCAATATTCATTATGCACAATAACAATAACAATAACTACAACAACCATCAGCCACTATCATTATTTGATTGTAATTATATAAATCACCATCCATCAATCACCGATCAACTACAATAATCATATCAGCCATGATCTTTCCCTATATTCATGACTATTCATTCCCGTGTTTGGCTGATGCTTTCAGGGACCTAAACGCCCGCGCATAGCCCGCCAGGCGTGCCCTGAATTGGAGGAACTGGAGAGATATGGGCAGCACTTGTGCCTCGGCGACCGCCTTGAAGATGGAGGGCAAACGACCCGTGAATTCACAGTTTGAACAGGAAAATTGACATACAGTAACATATTGAGATTAATTAAATGTGTTATGGATATATATATATATAACTCATATATAATCATCTATAGGGTTAAATATTGAAAGATGTTAAATACATTAAATGTGTTTAACTACATATATATAAACTGATATAAATCATCTATAGATGGTGAATTTTCCGTATATCTTTTCTTGAATTACCCAAAGGATCATCAAAGATGGGAGCGATGTGTCACCGCCCTCAGGAGCTCCTCGAAAAAAGCTTCGAAGGCGATCATTTCTGTGGCATCATCTAATATAGTAAGGTGATTGCCTTATACATATATATGGTAGTTAATATAGTAGTATAACATATATATATATGATTGTATATATTGTTAATTTAATAACTATGGTAGTTGATTACCTAATATAATATCACCTTATTAGGTTTATATTATATAGGGCTACCATTAAACATGAGTGTGCAACTTGGTGATTAAGATTCAGGTGTTCCATTGATTTCCCCTGGGATGATCCCCTTGGTGGGCCAGGCCGCATATCGAAAGATCCAAAGCATGATGTCAGGCCGGGAACGTTCAGAGTGAAGGCAGGATTGAACGTATTGGATCATATTGGGGAATACCTGTGATTTGCTACGAACGATTGGAACACAAACTATGAATAGAACACACACACACACATATATATATATATATAAAACGGGCTAGCGCCCGGGTGCCGCCGACCCCTCCTTCGTGTTTAAGGCCTGGCAAACGGCAGGCTTGGACCCCCCATGACGGGTTGTAAGGGTTTTAAGGGTTTTAAGCGTTTGGAGGGTTTTTAAGCGTTTAAGGGCTGGCAAACGGCAGGCTTGGACGCCCATAAGAAGACATTGATGTGTGGCCTTGGAGTGCCTGTTGGCTGCAGGATGAAGCATGCCAAGGTTCCCTTGTGTTTAAGGCCTGGCAAACGGCAGGCTTGGACCCCCCATGACGGGTTGTAAGGGTTTTAAGGGTTTTAAGCGTTTGGAGGGTGTTTAAGCGTTTAAGGGCTGGCAAACGGCAGGCTTGGACGCCCATAAGAAGACATTGATGTGTGGCCTTGGGGTGCCTGTTGGCTGCAAGATGAAGCATGCCAAGGGAATGTTTAAGGCCTGGCAAACGGCAGGCTGCGACGCCCGTAAGAAGCCATTGATGTGTAGCCTTGCGGGCCTGGCAAACGGCAGGCTTGGACCCCCATGACGGGTTGTAATAAGGGTTTTAAGCGTTTGGACGGTTTTTAAGGGTTTTAAGCGTTTAAGGGCTGGCAAACGGCAGGCTTGGACGCCTATAAGAAGACATTGATGTGTGGCCTTGGAGTGCCTGTTGGCCGCAGGATGAAGCATGCCAAGGTTCCCTTGTGTTTAAGGCCTGGCAAACGGCAGGCTTGGACCCCCCATGACGGGTTGTAAGGGTTTTAAGGGTTTTAAGCGTTTGGAGGGTTTTTAAGCGTTTAAGGGCTGGCAAACCGCAGGCTTGGACGCCCATAAGAAGACATTGATGTGTGGCCTTGGAGTGCCTGTTGGCTGCAGGATGAAGCATGCCAAGGTTCCTTTGTGTTTAAGGCCTGGCAAACGGCAGGCTTGGACCCCCCATGACGGGTTGTAAGGGTTTTAAGGGTTTTAAGCGTTTGGATGGTTTTTAAGCGTTTAAGGGCTGGCAAACGGCAGGCTTGGACGCCCATAAGAAGACATTGATGTGTGGTGTGGCCTTGGGGTGCCTGTTGGCTGCAGGATGCAGCATGGCAAACGGCAGGCTTGGACCCCCCAGGACGTGGCAAAGGGCAGGCTTGGACGCCCATAAGGAGAAAGAAGACATTGATGTGTCGCCTTGCGGTGCCTGTTGGCTGCAGGATGAAGCATGCCAAGGGAATGTTTAAGCGATGGCTTTTAAGGCTTGGACGCCCATAAGAAGCACATTTGTGGTGGCCATTGATGTGTCGCCTTGCGGTGCCTGTTGGCTGCAGGATGAAGCATGCCAAGGGAATGTTTAAGCGATGGCTTTTAAGGGCTGGCAAGTGGCCTTGGAAAGCTAAGAAGGAGAAGTTCCACACCTGCGGTGGTCCCAGGCGCCGCCCCTGCCTTGGCTAAGGCCGGGGTCGAAGGATATATATAATATATCATACATGCCGGTTGGAGACCTTTTCAGTTGTCCCTTTGACACTTGCTCTTCGTATTTGTTTGAGGGATCAAAAGCTTCAAGCGGCATGTGTTATTTCGGATAATTTCACAATCACAGAATCTGTTTAAGGGAACATGTCCAGGAAGCCCCTTAATTGGTGATCAAAACCATTGTTTCCTGTAAAGTTTCCGTTCAATCAGCCCATTGATCATTAGTGAAACCCAATGATTGGTGCTAAAATCATTCTATATTTTTCTTAGTTACATCCAGCATAAGTGTCATAAATCCAGTGTGTTTGATGTATTTTGGTGGATTCAATGAGGTTTTAGTGTTTAATTCCCGAAAGAATGTGCAAAGTTTGATGGTTTCAGGGTCGCCCTTGCCAGGTGAGGAAGGGGACGAAGTGCTGACCATGGTTGGGACACCCGGTGCTGCTTCTTTGCGAGTTGAATGTAGATTCGGTGTCTGAAAAAATCTGAAAAATCTGGGTTTGGTGAACTTAGGTGAACTCCAAAATGGCAATGTTAATGGGATAATATGATGCTCACCTTCAACATCCATGGCTGGTGGACGATGGATTTCCCACTATAACATCACTTATTATATAGTCAATTAGAAGAACATTGATATTTTGTAGGGGACACCCGTGTGTGCTTCCAGAACCTCTTCTCCCCAAAATAGCTGGAAATAAGAAATCCTGGTGGAACCTGTTCGATTTGTTTGTTTTGGAACTTTAGGGTTTGGAGTTTGGGGGTGTCTTATTACTTATTGTTCAAACATGTTCAAAAAACACTTTTCGGAAAGGCTTCGCTATCACAAAATCAAACGCCCTATGTTCAAGTCTTATCAATCTCCCAAAAAAGTTTGCATCAGTTTGCCGGAAACCATGGCCAGGTGGATCGTTCCTCAGGAAACCAAGAGGCGCGGAGGGTCTCGGAACTGCGAAGTGAACTTTGAGGCGCGGCCGCACGGGGGGAACTGCAGATTTCATTGGATGCTGGGGATTTAATATGGGATTTCACCATGAATAGGGACAATTGACTGGGATAATACAAGGGAACTATAGTGTGGAAAAGCAAAAACACAAACTCTCCAGTCTGAATGGAAATAGCTTGTACAAACCATCCCGCAGCTTTTAAAAATGTTGAGGTGGGGGTTCATATTGTTTTGACAAAGCTCCGGGAGGATTGAGTGGTGTGGAGAGGAAACCATTTGTTCATCCCGACTAACTCAGTAAGTTGTAGCACATGCGAGATGCTTCATGTACCTGTGGCCCCGCGCACAAAAGCATGTGTTGAAGACAACATGCTTGAAAAGTACCATTCTGAAACCAAGCATGGCAACTGAAAAGCTGCCTCTTGATGGTCGTTTAAATTGGAAAGTCATCTTAATATACATGGCATATTTTTCCTTTCCATGTTTGAGTATGAGACATAGCATGAACATACATGATTCATCACCTGATAGCGATGGAGAGATAGTTGGACTCATGACATATTTGTTTGGCAACTGGAGAAATACATCTTGAACTGAAATCATATCCTTTTTTTGGTGACCTATGACCATAACCATGGGCTGCAGCTATACCATTACCTTCTCGTCAGGTCACATGTTTGATCACCGCGGGCGAACACAAAAGCTGTGGAGTCGCGGTGTATTGCCCCGCCGGTGGCGAGCCGGGGCGGGGGTTGTTACTAGATGCAGGTGACTTGGCAGACTCCAGCCATACGGAGATTGATGCAAGTCATTTTGCACGGACATGGCATCCGTATCAGTCAAGGAAGGTTCGGAGCCACATTGATGGATAGTTCTCATTCAAACATCCGCCAATTCACCCTGTTGCAGCGTTGAACAGCGCGCTGTTCTGTGAAAAAGTGGTGATCTTGCCGAGGATAAAAATTGGAACCAATTTTTTGAATCCAACATTTATCAACAGACTGAGCTTTTGCCCGCACCTACGCTTTTTTGTTTATCAAATCCTGAGAAGCCGCGCGGAGATATAATGGAAAGTGATGGAAAGTGGACCTATTGAACAAAGGCCCGGCAACAAGGTGATTGGTGGGTTTGCGGCAGCATGTGGGAGGGCCTTAGGGTTTGCGTGACAGCATTGTGGCAGAAATCATCAGAAGTCGACTGTAATCATTGCAGCTGCTCATGGTTTCCGACCAAGACGAACTAATTATAACATATCTATTCCTTCAATATCATACACATTCATACACCATTATCGTAAACATGTTTCTGCACAATCACCGTCAAGATGAAATCGCATTCTCCGGTACCACGAGCTATGGCAGCCCTGAGTTGCGCCCCGAGATTTCAATTGCGTCCACCATGACGAAGGCCCTATCTCTACTCGGAGCAGAATCAACAGTAGCGAAAAAAATGCCTCTGCAAGATGAGTTTTCAGCGTGATGTTCCAGGTGTGGCATTCTTCATGGAGACTACACATGGCTACACTACACCTCTGAGTTGATCAGTGGTATCATGATTTCATGGTGTCCATTAACTTCAGTGTGATAGGGCCACTATACAAACTCCTGTCAGGTTTAATTGGAAACGTAAACACAAACTGTGATCTCAGGATGCTCGTCCGGGATGCTGCAGTGCTAAGTGAGGCTAAGTGTTTCTAGTGGGTTAAGTGGACCCACTTAGGCTATCTTAGGCTTGTGATTGTATGTCCAAGGGTTGTTTTTTTCCTCGGCTTGCCACGTCACCAGCGAAGTCCCATCCCTGGCAGATCTTTCGGGTGGCCTATGGTCTTCCTATCGTCATCGGCCTCAGTTAGGGGGACAGTTCTGGACCGGAAGAATGTGGGATTCACCCGAGGCCATAAACTTCCAGTTGGGAATGGTAATTTGCCACCCATTTCAAATACTGTAAATTTGCGGATGGTTTATGGTTTATGTTTTTTTGGGGGTTTTACCACATGATACATCACACTATATCCCCTGAAAGACATTGTTTCCAGCTAAGATTGTCCCTGAAATAATCTTCTATAAATAATCCCATAGAAAGTTCGTATCTCAACATGTCTCTTGAGGATTGGGTCTTTGAAAATTGGTGTTTTGAACGGAAGCATAGGCTTTGCTTCCAGGGGGCAAGGCTACCAGCCACGTTTCTGGAGGTCGGATGTATTTTGTTCTATGGCGATCCTCGGCGATGGTGTGGTTGATGCCTGGTATGAGACAACATTAGGTCTATCATGGTCTATCCAGATTTTTGTGGGATGTAGTGGATCCAGATTTTTGTGGGATGTAGTGGATATATAACCCATCCAAGTGGGACATAAAGCCAAAAATGTTGTGATGTTTGGGTGTGTTTGGACATGAGTAATGGGATAGATATCCTTTAAACGGCGATGTCACGAAAGCTAGCGTCAGCTAGCTGGAGTCTTCTTGCTTTAGCAAGTATTCAGGGGGCTGCTCAAGGACATCACGTGATTTTTCACGTGAAAGGGGGGGTCCCCCCCCCACCCACCACCACCACCACCACCATCATCATCATCATCATCATCGTCATCGTCATCGTCCTCGTCCTCGTCCTCGTCATCGTCATCGTCATCATCATCATCATCATCATCATCATCGCTATTCGAATACATTTTATCCTTATTGGCAATTATTGGCATTATCACGAAAGCTAGCGTCAGCTCGCTAGAGTCTTCTTGCTTTAGCAAGTATTCCGGGGCTCCACAAGGACATCACGTGATTTTTCACGCGAAAGGCCCCCCCCCTGCCCCCTCCCCCATATTCATCATTGTTATATATCATATATCATATATCATTGTTGCATCCTCGTTGGGACGAACAATGCCGCGACAAGATGATGACAGTCCCTCCGCAACTCACCTCTTCCCTTCCTTCTTTCTCCTTCCCCGCTAGCTTTCGTCATCCACCCCCGGCCTCAAGTTCATGTAGGGAAAACAAGGGATACATCACCAGCAATATGATATTTGGGTAGAATGGGACTAGAATGGGACAATTATGGACAAATGACCAAATGTGGGATGACCTCTACATTCCCAGAAGTCGTGGTCCTTTTCATTCCTGGATCCCAAGTGCCTGCAATTACATATGATCAGGCATACACATCTAACAAAAAAACATCCCATTCACAAACTATTTGGGTGCTAAGTTTACATCATCCCATCATCTTCATCTTCATCATCATCATCATCATCATCCCATCATCCCATCATCCCATCATCATCATCATCCTCCTCCTCCTCATCCCATTTCCAGAGAGATACTGTATCCGATATCCCAAAAATTCACCTCCGATATCGGGCGAAAAATCCGGGTGAATTTTCGGTCCGGAGACGGAATGGCCGAATTTTCCGGTGCAGTTTGTTCCGGCAAAGCTCCGGAGCACCTACAACGGCGCAGCGCCTTGCCGACAGGGGATGGTGAGGAAGTCACAGATAGGGCTGCTCAACAAAGGGGCATCAACGGAGCTGTGTTTTTACTGCTTGGTGGTTTGGAACATGAATTTTATGATTTTTATGACTTTCCATATCTTGGGAATGTCATCACCCCAATTGACTTTTAGATTTTTCAGAGGGGTACTGTAGGTCAACCACCAACCAGTTTAACTCTGTTATTTTCCGTTGTACTTGTATATTGTGTGTCTAAATGTTCTGATGATGCAAAATATTAAACTTTCTTTTGGGAGGGGAAGTGGATAGTTCTGAGCCATTCCCATGAATCTGAAGCCATGGCAGGATCTCTCAGCCACCTGCGGAGCTACAAGCCCCACGTTGATATCTGAAGTGGCACTGGGTTCATTTCAGTAGGACAACTCTGTTGCCCTTTTTGTAATTTAACATAGCAAAAACACAATGTTTAATAGGTGAAATGAATCAATTAACATAAATTATAAGATTTTATAAGTAGAAGTATATCTATAAATGGGCCACTTTCCATATAGCTGTGTTCAATTATCACGCAGTACACATCACACAGTGTCACAGAGCAGCTCACAATTTCCCCTTCTCGGGCAAAATGGTTCCTACTTCTGAGTTTCCCAGTAGCTTCCCACAACTTCCTAGCGCTCCACCAGGTGTTCCAATGGTTCATGTCTTCTGGTGGCCTTTTTATTGGTCTCATTTTAGGTGTCAGTGCCTCAGGTTTTGCTGCGAAGGTTAGGCATAGCATGTTGAACCACTGACAACCATGGGCCTAAGGCCCGGCCACGGCCCGGCCACGTTTGGGTGTCGAATCTCACAGAGCGAGATATTGTGAGATTAGCACTTGTGGTGACATACCTACGTTCTTGTTTTTCTAAATATGACATGATCATACATGTTTATTGATTTTTCGGGTGGATGAACATCACTACCAGCCATTTCTTGTAAAAAACACCAGGGTTTTACGGGGTTCCTTAGCCAAAGAGGGCTAAGACTCCAAGGATTTGCTTGTGGATGATGTACCCGGTGGCAACACCCCGGCGCAGCACTCAGCATGGCTATCACTTGGCTGTCAACATAGGAAACTAACCATTTTTAATAGGTACCCTCTGGTAATTTAACGTAACTACGGAAAATCACCATTTATAGTGAAATTTCCCATGAAAAATTGTGATTTTCCATAGTTACGTTAAATTACCAGAGGGTAAATCATCATAAATCACCCATGAATGGATCATTTTCTATAGCTATGTGAAAATTGCTAAACAACCAGAGGGTAGATTGGAAAAGATTGGACCTGTGTTCCATATATCTTTGAGAGCTTCTTGATCCCCAAAATGCCGAAAGTCTTTCTCGGAACCATATAGCAGACATATTGGAAACACGTGTTTGTCCTTCAGCATTGTCCTCATGGGAACGATTTGTTCCATGTGGAGTATGTTTTTGCCTCATTCTCTCCAATGGTTGTTTGGTTCCGGATATATTTATATATTGGATTTTATTGGCACATTTGTTTATTTCTCTCACGCCTGGATGCAACATTTGCTGA